TCCATACCATGCCTGTGATCTTTAGGAGGGTGGTCAAAGGTGGCACCCAGTCTGCCAGCCTTTACTTCTCCTATTGAAATGCAATGTGGAAGTCAAGGGAGAGGTGGTCTTACATGCTTAGGTCTCCTTCCTCAGTAGTTGTGCAATAAATATGTGTGGCATGAATGAAGGGAGCAAATAGAGCTGGGGAAGGCCATGAAGGGAGGGTTCTCATGCTTTTATGCCTGATAACGCCTATCACAAAAGACTCCAAAAGCCACAACCTTGTACAAAGGCCATCTCAAACTTATGCAAAAATACTCCTGCAAGTGCACCTGGCCAGGAACCTCGGCACGGTGGCTCACACCTGTAATCCCAGCAGCGTGGGAGGCTGAGGCAGGAGGATCACTTCAACCCAAGACGCTATCTCCACAGAAAAGGTATCACCCTTGTTATGGATCTTTGCAGCCAAGGACAAATATTTCAAAACTATTATGCAATTCTCCTCAATGTTTCCTTTAAAAAGCTTTGTCTTCCTTTACCTTCCTGAATAAGCACGTAGTTTACAGTGGAATCCATATTCCCACTGCAATGTTCTATTCCCGAATGAGCATATTTTCCTTTAGAGAGCTTCTCTCTGTTTGCTATTTTGGTTGACAGGAGTTTGGCTAGTCTAAGAAACTGGGATTGCTCTATCTTATCGTAAATTCCTCTCCTCCCTGGAGTCCTAGGAAGCCGGCTTCTTCCATCTCAGAAGTTTGAAGGGAGTAAAATAATCTATCAGGAGTATATGAAAAATTTACTGTCATTTAGTAGGACTGTGTGTGTGTGTGTGTGTGTGTGTGTGTGTGTGTGTGTTTCTTGGTGAGGACTGTAGCTATGAAAATACACATCTGAGAAAAGTTTCCCCCAAATTCAAAATTTCAATTTCAGTCATTCACATACCATGGTCTTTTTTCCTTTTTTCTTTTTTTGGGACCAAGCCCCACTCTGTCGCCCAGGCTGGAGTGCAATGGCACAATTTCAGCTCACTGCAACCTCTGCCTCCTGGGTTCAAGCAATTCTCTTGCCTCAGCCTCCCAAGTAGCTGGGATTGCAGGCATGTACCACCATGTACTTTTAGCAGAGATGGGGTTTCACCATGTTGGCCAGGCTGCTCTCGAACTCCTGAACTCAGGCGATCCCACCCACTTCAGTCTCCCAAAGTGCTGTGATTACAGGTGTGAACCACAGTGCCCTGCCTCATGGTCATTTTTAAATATTCTTGTAGCACCTGCATATTATGAATCTAAAGCTTTTCTTTAAATTAGCTCATTTCTTAAAGTACCTATTATATGCAATAGCTGTATAAGTACTTATGATTGCCTTATCCTAAATAGTATCACCTTTAAGGTCAAAGGTTTTATAGATGAATTAGTCCATTCTCGTTTTGCTACAAAGAAATACCTGAGACTGGGTAATTTATAAAGATAAGAGATTTAATTGGCTCTTGATTCCACAGGCTGTACAGGAAGCATGGTGGCAACTGCTTGGCTTTTGGGGAGGCCTGAGGAAATGTACAATCATGGCGAAGGCAGGCGGACAGCCAGCACATCATATGTCCAGAGTAGGAGCAAGAGAAAGAGGTTGGAGGTGCCATACACTTTTTTTTTTTTTTTGAGACAAAGTGTCGCTCTGTCACCCAGGCTGGAGTGCAGTGTGGCGATCACAGCTCACTGCAACCTCCGCCTCCTGGGCTTAAGCCATCATCATTTGTCTAATGAACAAAAAGTGTCTGTTCATGTCCTTTGCCCACATTTTAGTAGGGTTGTTTGTTTTTTTGCTTGTCAATTTAAGTTCCTTATAGATTCTGGATACTAGACTTTTGTCAGATGCATACTTGGCAATTATTTTCTCTCATTCTGTGGGTTGTCTGTTTGCTCTGTTGATAGTTTCTTTTGCTGTGCTGAGCTTTGAAGTTGAATTAAGTCTCATTTGTCAATTTTTGTTTTTGCTGTGATTGCTTTTGGTATCTTTGTCATGAAATCTTTGCCAGGTCCTATGTCTAGAATGGCATTTCCTAGGTTATCTTCCAGAGTTTTTATAGTCTTAGGTTTTACATTTAAGTCTTGACTCTATCTTGACTTGATTTTCGTATATGGTGTAATGAAGGGGCCCAGTCTCAGTCTTCTACATATGGCTAGCCAGTTATCCCAGCACCACTTACTGAATACGGAATCATTTCCCCATTGCTTGTTTTTGTTGGCTTTGTTGAAGATCAGATGGTTGTAGGTGTGTGGCATTATTTCTGGGCTCTCTATTGTATTCCATTCGTCTTTGTGTCCATTTTTGTACCAATATTGTGCTGTTCTGGTTACTGTAGCCTTGTCGTATAGTTTGAAATCATAGCTTCTGATTTTGAGGACTTTGTGTATGTATGCATGCATGTATGCATGTATGTGTGTATGTATTGAGATAGAGCCTGGCTCTGTCACCCAGGCTGGAGTGCAGTGGCACAATCTCAGCTCACTGCAACCTTCACCTCCCAAGTTCAAGCAATTCTCCTGCCTCAGCCTCCCAAGTAACTGGGATTACCCAGATAATTTGTATTTTTAGTGGAGATGGGGTTTCACCATGTTGGCCAGGCTTGTCTGGAACTCCTGACCTCAGGTGATCCCCCCACCTCAGCCTCTCAAAGTGCTAGGATTACAGGCGTGAGCCACCATGCTCTGCCGATCTTGAGAACTTTATAGCCTCTTCATTGTCCATGTAACATCATCTCTTTAGTCTTTGAGCACTTCCTTGCTTTCTGGGAGAATTACCTCTTAATAATGCTAACCTGGTCACAACCCTCACCCTTTGCTTCAAATCCTCCAGTGACTTTCCATTGTACTTCCAAGAACATCTAAACTTCATACATCATTGGTTTACAACACTTCCTCTTCTTTCTTCTTATTAGGTCTGACCTCTGCTTACCTGGCTGGTCTCACCTTACACTCCAGCCATGCTTTCTCAGTGCGCTCTGGCCACTCTGGCCTTCTTGAAATTCATCAAGTGGGTCAGGTTTATTCCAGCCTCTGGGCTTTTGCATATATTGTTCCCTCCATCACGAACACACTTCCCCTGTGATAAGTACCTTCTCATCTCTCAGGGCCCTCCTTAAATATCACCTCCTGTGAGAAGTCTTCCCTGATGACTCTATGGAAAATTATGCTTCTCTCCCATTAGTAGAGTTGCTTCAAAATCCCCTTCACTCTCTAAAAGAACATTACTTATTTATCTATTGTATAAATCACTGTCTGATTTCTCCACTAGGACGTAAACTTCTTAAGGGAGTAAATACCTGTCTTGTTCCTCATTCTGTTTCCCAGACTTGGAATTGTTACTAAAACACCAGGGTTCCAGGCTAGGTCCTGCTGCTCACCACACAGAAAGTCAATCACTGAGACAACAATTATTGCTTTAATCTCCCCAGTTACAGCCAAGGAGGCGGAAGATCGGTCTCAAATCCATCTCCTGACCAACTAAAATTAGAGGTTTATATAGCAGGGAAGAAATGTGATTATGTGTGGCATAGCAGGAAGTCAGGAGGGCTAAGGAAGCAATCACGATGAGTGAGGGGTCTGGCATCTCATCGTCTGGGTGAGATGATCTGCTAAATTTCTGTTCTTTGATACCATTTGAGAGGCCTGTAATGCGGAAGGAACTCAGGTAAAACAAATGTAAGTTTCCCACAGATTGGGAGAAAATATTTGTAAACTATGCATCTGACAAAGGTCTAATACCCAGCATCTATGAGGAACTCAAGTAAAGCAACAAGAGAAAAACAAACAACACCATTAACAAGTGGGCAGAGGACATTTTTTAAAAGAAGAGATACATATAGCCAACAAGCATATGAAAAAAAATGCTCACTATCACTGATCATTAGAGAAATACAAATCAAAATCACAATGACATACCATCTCACACCAGTCAGAATGGCTATTATTAAAAAATAAAAAGATAACGGGTGGTGGAGAAAAGGGAACATTTATACACTGTTGGTGTGAGTGTGAATTAGTTCCACCATTGTGGAAAGCAGTGTGGCAATTCCTTAAAAAGCTAGGAGTAGAACCACCATTTGACCCAGCAATCTCATTGTTGGATAAACACCCAGAAGAATATAAATCATTCTACCATAAGGACACATGCATGTGATTGTTCATTGCGGCACTATTCACAATAGCAAAGACATGGAGTCAACCTAAATGCCCATCAATGACAGATCGGATAAAGAAAATGTGATACATATACACCATGGAATACTATGCAACCACAAAAAAGAAGGAGAACCTGTCTTTTGCAAGAATATAGATGGAGCTGGAGGCCATTATCCTTAGCAAACTAACCCAGGAACAGAAAACCAAACGTTGCATGTTCTCACTTATAAGTGGGAGCTAAATGATGAGAACTCATGAACACAAACACTGAGGTCTACTTCACAGTAAACTCTGGGAGGATGGAGAGGAGCAGAAAAAATAACTATTGGGTACTAGGCTTTATACCTGGGAGTTGAAATTATTTGTACAACAACCCCCGTGACATGAGTTTACCTATATAACAAGCCTTCACATGTAGCCCTGACCCTAAAATAAGAGTTAAACAATAACAAATGTCAGTTTCAGGTATTTATACATATAAATATGTATAAATACTTATGTATAGATACATATATAAATACATATATATACCTATATATTATATATAAAATACTTATATATACCTATATATAAATATATATATACACTTATATATATACTGTCTATAAGACTATTGGGTTGGTTTCAAAATAAGCTGTCATACAAAAGGCACTCAAGACATATTTGCTGGTTGGAGGAAGGAGTGACTGAAGGTCTGGACTAAATATTAAATAAATGAAATGGTAAATGAACGAATCATCCAGAGATTCCTATGGAAAGAAGAGCAAGATCAGAAGAAAAGATTTTGTTTTTTCCGTTCTACTTCCTGCTGTGATAACCAGCCTGGTCCTTCCTCCACAGGGCTGCCTTTCAATGCAGTGGTCTTTGCCCAAACCACAGACCAAGGAACCCCTGGAGCCGCCAGACAGTTGACACCTGACCCTTCCTCCCCAGCATCACTCATCAGCTCAGTGGGTAGGTAATAATATAAACCAGTAGCAGGAGTTTATGAAGTCCTTATTCCCACACCCTGCGTGGTGCATCACTTCATTGCATCGTCACAACAGCCTTGCACTGTTATCCCCACTGGGCGTGTGAGGAGACAAGTCTCAGAGAGGTTAAGTGACTTGCCCCAGATCACACAGTGAATAATTGGGACTTGAATCCAATGGAGTCCAATTCTTCCATTTTCCTCCCACTCTGCATTTTGTTTCCTGCTCTGGGAAGATTGCTATTGGCTTGATTTTAGGAAGAAAAGAAAATGAGTCTTCAAGAGGTGATTTGGGCTGGGCACAGTGGCTCACGCCTGTAATCCCAGAACTTTGGGAGGATGAGGCGGGAGGATCACTGAGGTCAGGAGTTCGAGAACAGCCTGGCCAACATGGTGAAACCCCATCTCTACTAAAAATACAAAAACTAGCCAGGCGTACTGGTGCAAACCTGTAATCCCAGCTACTCAGGAGGCTGAGGCAGGAGAATTGCTTGAACCCAGGAGGCAGAGGTTGCAGTGAGCCGAGATGATGTCATTGCACTCCAGCTTGGCTGACAGAGCGAGACTCCATCTAAAAAAAAGAGATGTGATTTGAATCTGAGGCCTGTGTAGGCAGACTCTGTGTCTTCTGCCTTACTGGCAAATACTGGCAGCCTAGCATGGCAGTGCATAACTGTAGTCCCAGCTACTCGAGAGGCTGAGGCAGGAAGTTTGCTTGAGCCCAGAGGTTGGAGAGTGCAGTGAACTATGATTGCACCATTGCACTACAGCCTGGGTGACAGGGCAAAACCCTGTCTCAAAAACAAAAAAACAAGCCAGGCACAGTGGCTCACACCTGTAATCCCAGCACTTTGGGAAGCCAAGGAGGATCACTTGAGCCCAGTAGTTTGAGATTAGTCTGGGTACCACGGTGAAAACCCATCTCCATTAAAAAAATTAGCTGGGCATGGTGGCATGCACCTATAGTTCCAGCTACTTGGGAGGCTGAGGCGGGCAGATTCCTTGGCCTAGAATTGGAGGCTGCAGTGAGCCATGATTGCACTGATGCACTGTAGTCAGGCAATAGAGCAGGACTGTCTCAAAAAAAAAAGAACAAACATTGGCTTCCTCAAGGGTAGGCAGGAGAGGCAGACAGGTCCTTATCCTCCCTCCAACCCTCTCATCTACCTGCCCACCTTCTCTGTCCATATCTGCAGTATCCTAGAGGCAGATGGCATTGATGGGGTTGCTGTGGGTATGGCCACCAACCCTGTCACCTAAACAGGCAGGTTGCCCATTGCTGGGAGATGATTCCCCAGGTATCTCTGGAGGGAACCAGCCCAGGCAGGGAGAGGAGGTTCAAGGCATGAGCCCTGTCGAGGTTCTTTCTGCTGCCTCCTGCTCCTTGCCTCTGGATGATGGGTCCTCCCTTTCCTTGGAGTCTACGGAGTCTAGTTCTGTTCCCTGTATTTGAATGATGACTTTTTTTTTTTTTTTGAGAGACAGAGTCTTGCTCTGTTGCCCAAGCTACAGTGCAGTGGTGCAAAGCTGATTCACTGCAACCTTTACCTCCCAGGCTCAAGTGATTCTCTTCCCTCAGCCTCTCGAGTAGCTGGGATTACTGGCGCACACCACCACACCAGGTTAATTTTTATATTTTTAGTAGTGACGGGGTTTCACCATGTTAGCCAGGCTGGTCTTGAACTCCTGACCTCAAGTGATCCACCTGTCTCAGCCTCCCAAAGTGCTAGAATTATAGGCGTGAGCCACTGTACCCAGCCTTGTATTGGGACGATGACTTTATTTTTTATTTTTTAATTTAATTTTATTTTTTGAGGGGATGGAGTTTCACTTTTGTTGCCCAGGCTGGAGTGAAATGGCACAATCTCAGCTCACTGCCACTTCCGCCACCCAGGTTCAAGCGATTCTATGATGACTTTATAAGCAGCACAACAGAGCAGTTAAAAGAGGAAACACTGGTATTGGACAGCCTGGGTTCAAATCCCACCTCTGCTACTTTCTGGATTAAAAAAGAAACCACCTCTCTGAGCCTCCAGTGTTTTGGAAATAAATGCCATATGTAACTGAGCAACTGTAAAATCTGAATTGAAGTAGATGATGCCTCCAAACAGTGGTTATCAACTGAATGTGATTTTGTCTTCCAGGAGGCATTGGTCATATCTGGAGACATTTCTGGTTGTCAGAAATAGGAGAGTGGGTGCCAGTGACACATAGTAAAGCCCCTCTTCCTACCCCTGGGGAAAGCTGGAATTCTTTCTTTCTTTTCTTTTTTTTTTCTACACTCACTAGTAAAGAACCAACCAAGGAATTCATTTATTTGCTTGCTTGCTTTTCTTCCTTCCTTCCTTCCTTCCTTCCTTCCTTCCTTCCTCCCTCCCTCCCTCCCTCCCTCCCTCCCTCCCTCCCTCCCTCCCTCTCTCTCTCTCTCTCTCTCTTTCTTTCTTTCTTTCTTTCCTTCCTTCCTTCTTTCTTTCTTTCTTTCTCTTCTTTTTTTCTTTCTTTCTTTCTTCTTTCTTTCCCTCTCTCTCTCTTTCTTTCTTTATTTATTTCTTTCTTTTTATTTGAGATGGAGTCTTGCTCTGTCACACAAGCTAGAATGCATTGGCACCATCTCAGCTCACTGCAACCTCCACCTCCTAGGTTCAAACAATTCTCCTGCCTCAGCCTCCCGAGTAGCTGGGGTTGCAGGAACCCCTCCATCACACCCAGCAAATTTTTGTATTTTTAGTAGAGACGGGGTTTCACCATCTTGGCCAGGCTGGTCTTGAACTCCTGGCCTCATGATCCACCCACCTTGGCCTCCCAAAGTGCTGGGATTACAGGTGTGAGCCACCACACCCAGCCTAAACTGGAATTATTTCTAAAAAATCGATGTGCATCCTATGTGAATGCAACTTGCATTAACTAGTTAAGTCTGACTGCTGAAGGGACAGATTGTTCACCATATGAGAACTCTTAAGTTTCACATCCATTAGGGTGGCTGTTACAAAAACAAACAAAGCAACAGAGAAAACCAGAAACATATTATAGTAAATGCTGCTGAGGATGTGCAGAAATTAGAACACTTGAGCACCGTGGGTGGGAATGCAAATGGTGCCACAACTGTGGAAAAGAACATGGTGCTTCCCAAAAAAAAAATTAGAAATAAAATTACCAGATGATCCAGCAATCCTACTTCTGGGTATAGATTCAAAAGAATTGAAAGCAGAGGCTCAAGCAGATATTTATACACCAGAGCTCATAGCAGCATTATTTACAATGCCCCAAATGTGGAAACCATCCAAATGTCCATCGGCAGATAAATGAATACAAAAAATGTGGTCCATCCCCACAATGGATTTTTTTTTTTTTTTTTGAGATGGAGTCTTGTTGTGTCACCCAGGCTGGAGTGCAATGGTGCCATCTCAGCTCATTGCAGCCTCTGCCTCCCAGCTTCAAGCAATCCTCCCACCTTAGCCACCTAAGTAGCTGGGATCATAGGGCATGACCACACCCAGCTAATTTATTATTATTATTTGAGGTGGTGTTTCACTCTTGTTGCCCAGGCTGTAGTGCAATGGCATGATCTGGGCTCACCACAAACTCCACCTCCCGGTTTCTAGAGATTTTCCTGCCTCAGCCTCCTGGGTAGCTGGGACAACAGACATGCACCACCATGCCAGGCTAATTTTTTGTATTTTTTAGTAGAGACAAGGTTTCTATTAAAACATGTTGGTCAGTCTGGTCACGAACTCCCGACCTTAGGTGATTCTCCTGCCTTGGCCTCCCAAAGTGCTGGAATTACAGACATGAGCCACTGCACCTGGCCAAATCATGCTTTCTTGAAAGTCCAGACCTATCCACCATGCCCAGAGAACTTTGACAATCTTTCACTCAAGGGTTTCCCTTCTCCTTCTCGTTGCTCCCGTGATGAACTCCATCAGAGAGAACACTTCTTCAGCATCTGACACCTTCTCTCAGAATCCCTAGTTCCCTAGTTCTGGCTTCCTTTGACCAGTACTCCATTAAGTATTAGAACATAGATCATCCATGGAACAGAAGTTCGATGTGATCTCCCTCTATGAGTAGTATTTTACTAGAGTATATTTCTTTTGTTCATTTTTTCTTTCTTTCTTTCTCTCCCTCCCTTCCTTTCTCTCTCTCTCTTTCTTTCTTCTCCCCCTTCTTCTTCTTCTTCTTCCTCTTCCTCCTCCTCCTCCTTCTCCTTCTTCCTTTTTGACATACGGTCTCCCTCTGTTACCCAAGCTGGAGTGCAGTGGTGCAATCACAACTCGCTGCAGCCTTAATCTCCCCAGGCTCAAGCAGATCCTCCCACTTCAGCCCCCCAAAGTAGCTGGGACCACAAGGATGCACCACCATGCACAGCTAATTTTTTGTTTTTATTTTTGTAGACATGGATCTCACTATGTTGCCCAAGCTAGTCTTGAGCTCCTGGGCTCAAGGATGAGGAATATTTCACTAGAACTTCCTTGGAAACAGAATGGTCAGCAAAATGTATAAATAGTAGATTTTCTTCATATGTCTTCCTTCGGAGGTTATTTCCTTCCTTCCTCCCTTCCTCCCTTCCTCCCTCCCTCCTTCCCTCCCTCCCTCCCTCCCTCCCTCCCTTCCTTCCTTCCTTCCTTCCTTCCTTCCTTCTCCCTTCCCTTCTCTTTCTTTCTCTTTCTCTCTCCTTCCTCCCTCCTTCCCCCCTTCCTTCCTTTCTCTCTTTCTTTCTTTCTTTCTTTCTTTCTTTCTTTCTTTCTTTCTTTGTCTGTCTGTCTGTCTGTCTGTCTCACTGTCTGTCTCACTCTGTGGCCCAGGCAACAGTAGTGCAATCATAGCTCGTTGCAGCCTCAACCTCCCTGGTTCAAGTGATCCTCCAACCTCAGCCTCCTGAATAGCTGGGAACACAGGCAAGCACCACCACACCTGGCTAATTTTTAAAAAATTTTTGGTAAAGATGGGGTCTTGCTATATTGCCCAGGCTGGATTCGAATCCCTGGCCTGAAATGCTCCTCCTGCTCAGCATCCCAAAGCACTGGGATTACAGGTGTGAACCATCGTGCTCTGTTCTGAGCTTCCTTGCTTAGGTGCTGTTTCCATCCTCTTCTCTCACAGGAACTCACAAGCCTAGGGAGAGTTCAGCATCCCCACATGGAACCTCAGTGCGGCCAACAGGCAGCCCTCTGGTGGAAAAATCAACAATTGGTCCTGCTGGTAAGCTCCAATCTCATCTCCTTCACATTGTTATGGTCTCCTGGAGCTTTGTTAATCTCTTTGGAGACTAACATTTTGATCTTTTCCATGAAGGGAAATGAAAGGGATGCCTGTATTGGAGTTTGCTCCCCAGATACGGGGCCCCCTAACTTTTAATTTAACCTCTAGCTTTATGACCATGTACAAGTATGCAATTCTAATCTTTATCTTGTTTTGAGATTCCATTCCAGAGTAGTTGGGGGACAGAAAGCCCAGCCTATAACCCCTGTTGTTTTTTTTTTGAGACAGGGTCTCATTCTGTCACCTAGGCTGGAATGCAGTGGCACAATCTCTGCTCACTGCAACCTCTGCCTCCTAGGTTCAAGCGATTTTCTGCTGTTAAAAGAAAGTCGGGGGGGAGGGAAGTGATTTTCATATCTCAGCCTCCTGAGTAGCTGCAATTACAGCCACCCATCACCATACCCGGCTAATTTTTGTATTTTTTGGTTTCACCATGTAGGCGAGGCTGGTCTTGAACTCCTGACCTCAAGTAATCTGCCCACCTCAGAACTCTCTTGGAAGGAATTCTTAATTCAGAAGAAGAGTGAGCTAACCATGCATATGTCTCATAGCACGTTTTGCATCTAAGTTGTTCTATTTGGGACCAGAAGGCTTTTATTATCTTTTTTAAATTTAGCTTTTATTTTAAGTTTAGGGGTATATGTGCAGTTATATAGGCAAACTTTTGTCATCGGGCTTTGATTTACAGATTATTTCATCACTCAGATATTAATCGTAGTATCCATTAGTTAGTTTTTCTGATCCTTTCCCTCCACCCCCTCCACCCTCCAGTAGGCCCCTAATTAAACTAAAGAGCTTCTGCACAGCAACAAAAACCATCAACAGAGTAAACAGACAACCTATAGAATGAGAGAAAAGTTTTGCAAACTATGCAGCTGACAAAGGTCTAATATCCAGCATCTATAAGAAACTTAAATGAATTTATAAGAAAACAACAACAGCAACAACAAAAACCATTAAAAAGTGGGCAAAAGACCAGGTGTGGCGGCTTGCGCTTATAATCCCAGCACTTTGGGAGGCCGAGGCAGGTGGATTACCTGAGGTTGGGAGTTCAAGACAAGCCTGACAAACATGATGAAACCATGTCTCTACTAAAGATATGAAAAATTAGCTGGTTGTGGTGGCGCACATCTGTAATCCCAGCTACTTGGGAGGCTGAGGCAGGAGAATTGCTTTAACCCAGGAGTCTCTTTAATTGAGAAGTGGAGGTCAGAAAAGACACAGCACTCCTGTTCAGGTCAGAGCAGGGGCCCACAGATGCACACTCAGAAATCAGTGGAAGTTGCTCTTCATTAAAAATCTCATGACTCTGGCTGGGCGTGGCGGCTTACACCTGCAATCCCAGCACTTTGGGAGGCCAAAATGGGTGGATCATGAGGTCAGGAGATCGAGACCATCCTAGGCAACATGGTGAAACCCTGTCTCTACTAAAAATGTAAAAATTAGCCAAGCATGGTGGTGTGCACCTGTAGTCCCAGACACTCGGGAGGCTGAGACAGGAGAATCGCTTGAACCAAGGGGGCGCAGGTTGCAGTGAGCCGAGATCTTGCCATTGTACTCCAGCCTGGCAACAGAACCAGACTCTGTCTCAAAAAAAAAAAAAAAAAAAAGCTTGAAGGGAAGAACTGAGATTGTCAGTTGTTTATTTCAGGAAACTGTCTGTGGTTATACTATCCTTTCCTTTCTCTCACTGAGATTTGGTCTTCTCAATCAGCAGGGTTGCACAATTCCCTCAACCTCCCATACATACAGCAGCTCTTCTAGACACAGGTTTTCCCAGGAGAAATGCAGGGACCCCAGCCATATCTCCCGCCCTGAGAAATTTTGGAGTTTCAGGGAGCCCAGGAGCTCTGCAGAGGTCACCTTCTCTGAAGGGATTGTTCTTAGACCTCCATCTAGAGGCAAATGTTGACCCATCCATGCTGAAACCCATAGTCCTTCCTGGGTCACCTTCTCCCACCCACTCCTGGATGGCAGGGAGCAGTAGCACTAAAGCCACACCAGAAATAGGTTCAGGGCTGACAGGAGTCACCTTGTCACATGAGACATCTACAGGTGTGATTGTGGTGATGGAACATACTCTGCCCTTTACTTCCCCAGCTAAGACCTTGGCCAGTCCTGCATCTTCGGTTGTGGGAAGAACCACCCAGTCTTTGGGCGTGATGTCCTCTGCTCTCTCTGAGTCAACCTCTAGAGGAATTACACACTCCGAGCAAAGAACCAGCCCATCACCGAGTTCCCAGGTCAATGGAACTCCCTCTAGGAACTCCCTTGCTACAAGCATGGTCTCAGGATTGAGTTCCCCAAGCACCAGGACCAGTTCCACAGAAGGAAATTTTACCAAAGAAGCATCGACGCATACACTCACTGTAGAGACCACAAGAGGTCCAGTCACTGAAAGGTACACAGCCCCCACTGAGACCTCAACAACCAAAGGTGACAGCACAGGGACTCCCTGGAACATAAGATATGTTCCTGCAAAAATCACATCTCTAATGAAGACATTTGTAGATTCGACTGCATCCAAGGAAAGTGTCCCACTGTCTATGACTTCAGCTGAGACCACAGTTATGGACCCACATACTCCAGGAAGGACACACCCATCATTTGGGACAGTTTCTTCTTCCTTTCTTGACTTATCATCATCTAGAGGGACCTCAAATTCCAGAGCCGGAACACTGGAACTGACTCCCTCAACCACTGGATATCCCTTCTCCTCTCCTGAACCTGGCTCCCCAGCACACAACAGAATAAGTACCAGTGTGCCTTTGCTGTCATCTGCTTCAGTTTTTGATAATAAAATATCAGAGACCAGCATATTCTTTGGCCAGAGTATCACCTCCCCTATGTCTCCTGGGATGCCTGAGGCCAGAACCAGCGCAATGCCCAACTCAGCGATCCCTTTTTCCATGACACTAAGCAATGCAGAAACAAGCACTGAAAGGGTCCGAAGTACAATTTCTTCTCTAGGGACTCCATCTACATCCACAGAGCGGACAGCAGAGAGTGTCCTTACCTCCCGTGCCTTCACTGAGACCACGGATCTACCCAGCACCCACACAACCAAGACTTTGGCTTCAGAATGGTCAGAGAGTCCAGGTGCCCTCAGTGGCACCAGCAATTCAGTGCTGACAACCACATCTCCATCTACCACTTTAGTCTCAGAGAAGACCGATACCCATTACTCCACATATGGAAAGGAAACAGAAGGAAATTTGAATGCATCTATGACTCCACTTGAGACCTCTGCTCCTGGAGAGGAGACTGAAATGACTGCCAACTTGGGCCCCACTCCAAGTTTTACCACCCTTGACAGGAAGATCAGAAGTCCATCTCAGGTCTCTTTATCCCACCCAACAAGAGAGCTCAGCCCCACAGGCAGCGCCTCTGGGAGGCAGAGTTCCAGTACAGCTGCTCACGGGAGCTCTGACACCCTGGGGGCAACCACTTCCAGCATCTCACCAGCATCCTCATGGACCAGTGAAAGTACACCTCAGCACTTTAGTGAACCCCAGCACACACAGTGGGTGGAGACAAGTCCTAGCATGGAAATGGAGAGACTCCCAGCATCAACCAGTGTGTTTACTTCTCCAGCAACTGGTTCCATGGAAGCAACTTCTGTCAGGAAACTATCAACAGCCATGCTCACAACAGAGACCACAAATGGCCCAGGCACTGTTTATGCTATGGCTTCTACCAACATCCCAATTGTAAGCGGCTACGTTACGGGAAGAAGATTGGCCACAACCCACCTGCCCACTGGAACCACAGCTTCCTCTGAGACATCTACAGATTTTGCCATGGCCAAAGAAAGTGTCTCAATGTCAGTATATCCATCTCAGTCTATGGATGCTGCTGGCTCAAACACTCCAGGAAGGACAAGCCAATTGGTTGGCACATTTTCTGATGACTTCTATCATTTAACATCTGGAGAAATTACAATATCTAAAGATGGAACCAGCTCAGCTTCAACTCCACAAATGACTGCAACCCACCCTCCATCTCCTGAGCATGGCTCTGCTAGAAGCGCCTGGCTTGGCATCTTGTCCTCATCTCCTTTGGCTCCTACTCTCAAAGTCATATCTCCTCCTGCTCCTACTTCCAAAGTCACAATGAGTTCCACCTTTTCAACCCAGAGAGTCACCACAAGCATGACAAAGGACACAGTTGAAATGAGTCAATGGAATACACCTGACTCACTTTCCATGACTTCCTTGACACCAAGTAATATTCCAACAAGTGCTGCCATGGGGAAAAGCACCCTGGTTCCCTTGGACTCTCCTTCTCTAGCCACATCAACAGAGGCATCAGAAGGGGGATTCCCAACCCTCAGCACCTACCCTGAAGCAACAAACACACCCAGCATCCACCTCGGAGTACACACTAGTTCAGAAAGTCCTAGCACCATCAACCTCCCCATGGCTTCAGTAGTAAAAACTGGCCCTTATACACCTCTCACCTTCCCCTCAATAGAGACCAACATTCATGTATCAACAGCCGGAATGGAGACAAATGAAATTGCTTACTCCTCTGGGTCCTCACCTGAGATGACCCCTCCTGGAAAGACTAACACTAGTAGTACCTGGGCCCCCACCAACTACATCACCACTACGGATCCTAGGGATATAAGTTCAGCTCAGGTCTCTACACCCCACTCAGTGAGGATGCTCAGAACCACAGACAATCATCCAAAGACAGAGTCCACCAGCCCAGCTGCTTACTCTGGAAGTCCTAAAATCTCAAGTCCACCCAATCTCACCAACCCAGCCACAAAAGCATGGACCGACAATGACACAATTGAATACTCCACTCAATTACATCACACAAATTTGGCAGAAAAATCACCTGGATTTGAGACACAGTCAACCCCAGGACCTGTCTCTGTAGTAATCTCTACATCCCCTACTACTGGAAGCAGAACGTTGGAACTGACTTCTGGTATCCCAGAGGAACCCATGGTCCTCACCACCAGTGAGCAGACCACAATCACTCTCCCCATGGCAACACGGTGGAGTACCAGTTTGACAGAAGAAATGGCTTCAGGAGACCTTGACATTTCAAGTCCAGGTTCACCCATGAGAACATTTGCTATTTTTCCACCTCTGTCCACACCTTCTCATGAACTTTCAAAGTCAGATACCAGTGCCACTGAAAATACAGGTTCAACCATGTTGGATCAACATCTAGGATTCAGCAGTTTGGGCACAACTGGGAACTTAACTCCTGTTTCAGTCACAGTCTCCCAGGAACCCAGCATGGGCCCAGAACCAAGTCCATCCATCTCATTAATGTATTCATCCACAGACACTGCAACCACAGGTGCCACATCCTCAGGGGCTAGATACAGCACTGATGTACCTGAATCTAGGATTCCAGGCTTCCCCAGCACAGAAGCCAAGAAGAGTTCACCACCTCTTCCAACCTCTACTCTTCCATCTGCAGAACCCACATCCTCAGCAGTACTGATCACTTTGCTACAAAGTCCCCATTCAACCAGGAGGAGACCCATATCAGAGGCAACAACACCAGTCAACTCTGTATCTCAAGATGTTACAAGCTCTTCTCCAGGGCGGTCAACAGAGGTGCAAAGTCTTCCTGCCATTTTCAGCTCTACGGAAACTGACAGAGGGGTCACACAGACATCTGGCTATGGAAAACCCGGAGTAGATTTGGGAACAAGTTTTGCTGAATGGAATTCATCTATGCCTTTGACCTCAAGCACTGCTGGGGCCTCAGTTTCCTCTGAGGCAACCACTTCCAGAAGGCAAAGTGACCCCTGGTCAGAGTCATCAGTGACCATGAGAAGGGTTGGGTCAGGATTTCCTTCTTCAGCCTCCTCTGTTTCCCCTGATAGGACCACTTCATTGGTTGTTCCCCCGACAGTGGGTGAAACTGCAGGTTCTACTTTATTCTTCCCTAAAATTAAGGAAATGTCAACTGAGAAAGTGTCAGTTTCCTCTTTGTCCCTTGGACTACTAGGCACAACATTTCCCATGGCTCTCTCTGGGATCACATCTTCCATGGGCACTGAAGAGGATGCAGGAACAAGCTCAACCACCTCATGGTCCAGCTCCTCTTCTAAAGGTGAAATAAGTTCCTCCATTCATATGTCCTCTATCATTCACAACAGTCCTGCTTCTTTTGATCTGTCCACCAGAGAAGGTCCCAGGGCAACCTCCCTGGATTCCACAATCCCAACCTGGATCTCTTCATCAGCATTTACCAGCCTTCTGGCACAGACAAGCCACACTGCTGACGCCATTTCCTCCTCAGGAAGCCCAGAGTTGGAGCACACTAGCCCAGGAATGGAGACTGGCTCAGCCAAAACTTCATCAGGAGCATCCACCTCCTTTGAGGCTGGCAGTGGCACCCCCTGGACACCTGCTTCTCCACTGGCAGAGGCTACAACCAATAAAAGTCAGACTACTGGGTCAGGAAGCACCTATGCTCCTCATCTTGACAGCTCACTTTCATTCACAAGTAAGGACCTGATGATTCTACCTTCTTGGAAATGGGTTTCTGATCTTTGGTTGGGTAGTCATTGGCGATGGTGAGGAATCTTTTGCTTTGTTTCACAAAGTCTCTTACTTGCACTGCTTCAGAATTCTAGATCATGGGAGATGTCTATCTGGCCAGGGTGGCCACTGCTATTCCCTGTGTGTGGTTTCTTAGTTTACTGTAGAAGTCACCTACATTTGTCCATAGTTATGGGAGCACAGATCCACATCCTGGTTTGTAGCCATTCTTAAGGAATACCACTTTAAAAAAAAAAAACACTTTTTAAATTGTGGTAAAATATATCTCTCATAAAACTTACCACCACTTTAACTATTTTAAGGGTACAATTCAGTGACATTAGTTGCATTCACACTGTTGTGTAATCATTACCATAATCAATCTCAAGACATTTTTCATCACTCCTAACTAAAATTCTATTCTCGTTAAACAATGACTCCCCATTTTTCCCTCCCCCAAGCACCTGGTAACCACTATGCCACTTTGTCTCTATTAATTTGACTATTCCGGGTGCCTCATATAAGTGGAATCAAATAATATTTGCCCTTTTGTGTTTGACTTATTTTACTTGGCATAATGTCTTCAAGATTCATCATGTATCAGAATTTCTTTCCTTTTTAAAGCTGAATAATAAATATGCCATTGTATAGATATATCACATTTTGTCCATATATTCATACATAAATGGACATTTTGGTTATTGTGAATAATGGTGCTATAAACATTTGTATAAAAACCAATGTTTTATTCAAGTCCTTGCTCTTGATTCTTCTGGATATACAAGGAGAAGTGAAATTTAACAGATTATATGGTATAATATCATTTTTATATTTAGGATTTGCAACTTCTTCATAGGGTGACCTGTTTTTATCATCCTTTTGCCATTTTCCCTAATTGATAGTTGGAACTAGCCCACCATGAATATGAAACCAGGAGCTCCCCTAAATATCCTTGGTTGAAGATGTTGCTTGGTAAGAATGGTGAGAAGAGAAGTATGTGATCTCTGTGTCTACCTCTTTTCTCTGAAATGACTGATCACATCACCTTCTTCATCTTTTCCAACAGGGACTGTTGGGAGTGTGGAGCCTTCCAGCAGGACCCCAGGCTCAACAGCTAAGAGTCTCATTCCGTGGTCAACAAGTGATTCTCTAGAACCCAGGTCACCTGCCACTACAACAGGTATGAGGATGTCTCATCCTTACTTCCTCTTCGTAATTCCAATTGAACCTGTCCTGGTGACGTTTTTTTCACTTGTTTATCATGAGCAGAGTGATTAGTTGCCTTAAGTGAGCTTGTCTCCTGGTAGATGGAAAAGTAGCTGCCATCTTGATTTCTCTCCTTGGTCTCACAAGTTATATATGAGGAGAATATGCTGTGTGATCATCTCATCCAAATTAGATCTCTGATGAGGGTGGAGAAACCCTGAAGTTCTCTTCATTCATTTATTAGTCCATCCAATAAGTCACACAGTCAGACATATTGGTTTGGTACTCAACTGATCTTTTTTTTTTTTTTTTGAGACGACGGAGTTTCGCTCTTGTTACCCAGGCTGGAGTGCAATGGCACGATCTCGGCTCACCGCATCCTCCGCCTCCTGAGTTCAGGCAATTCTCCTGCCTCAGCCTCCTGAGTAGCTGGGACTACAGACACGTGCCACCATGCCCAGCTAATTTTTTTTTTTTGTAGTTTTAGTAGAGACGGGGTTTCACCATGTTGACCAGGATGGTCTCGATCTCTTGACCTTGTGATCCACCCGCCTCGGCCTCCCAAAGTGCTGGGATTACAGGCTTGAGCCACCGCGCCCGGCTCAATTGATCTTTAGTAAAAGGATAAAAACCAAGAAAAGTCCCTTTGCACTCTTAGGGGCTCCTTGTTGTATCAGACTGTGCCTGGATGAGGACTTTTGCAGTTTGCAATTTGAAAATTTCTCTTCATGAGTAATTCTGTGCTTGAGAGTTACTCTGAAAGGCAGACAGCAAGCATTGCTACTCATGGATAGGATGGAAGTTCCCTGATCATCATTTATATCCTCAAAATTGACAGCCTGGTATAGGAAGACAGCGTTCTGGGGATGAAGCATCATCTCTAGATTTCATTCAGTAGGGGAAGCTTTGAAGTCCCAATCTATGTCCCATGAGAAATTTGGAATAGTCAGGAGGTCTCCCCTGCATCCTGTTCCTCTTTCAACAACTACCCATTATAGTCACAGGATTGCCCAGCAGAAGCCCAGTGACATTGACTATCCTGCAAATATCTTCCATATTTGGAAGCTACAAGGGTGCTTTTCATGTTAGGGATCAATATGAGGAGGGGATTTCTCTCAGATAGGCAGCTACAGTGACTGCCATCAGGAAGGCTACAACTGCCACATTTATCTTCTCAATGACCACTTTTGTCAACTCCACTTCTGCAGCTGGTGCCAATGTTAACGGCATCTTGGGTACCACTCACTCAGCTAAAGGAACATGGATCCCAGGAGAGGTCTATAGATATAACAGTGGACACAGAAATGGTCCCATTTTTTACCTTTCCAGGTAAGAATAAGGCCAGCCTTGAGGGAAGCATTCTAGAAAGAACTGACCAATCACATTCGACAGTTTTCTCCATCTTTCCTGAGTCAACTCCTAAAGTAACCATAGATTTTGGGGCAGGACTCAACACAGCCACTGTGATTCCACAAGGGACTTCAGCTCTGCCTTTATCCCCAGAGACAAGTTCTAAGGTTGACACTGGGATCCCTGTGGTCTCATCTCCTTCTATTCTTATCACAGGAGCTAACACATCATCTACCAGGAGAGCCACCACAAGCATGGCCTTGGGCACACATGAAGTCACAGCAAGGGCAGAGTACAGCTCAGCTGTTCTTTCTACCATCTCTTTGAGCAATAGTGCTACCAGCTCAGAAGCAGAGGACAATATATCTGCCACTCTAAATCCTCCATCTCCAAATCCATTGGCAGAAGGGACATCAAGGGGTGGTTTCTTCCTCGGCACCTCCCCTTGATGTCCCTCCCTTCTGCTGACGGATTTGGAGAGGGAGATTTGGGACCTCAGATAGACCCAACATGAGCATTCAAACACATGCCAACCTATCCAATCCTCTGGCCTCTGATCTATCAATGAGCCCTGAAGCCACCAGCTTCACCAGGACTACTTCTTCTGTCCTCTCTCCCTCTCTGGTGCCTGTCACTCCTGTGTCCATAAGCAAAACAGGTGAGACCAACTCTGAATCTGGAACCTCAGTGAGTGTGTCAATGCCATCAAGAGAGACAACCTGGGGTGGCTCTTTGGACTTTAGGACAAGGAGCCTGAGTTCAGTCTTGCCATCCATCCCAGTGGAATTGCTCAGAGTCAGACAGCCCCCAAAGAATAGGACCCAGTGAATGTGTCCCTGGAGTCTCTGATGTTCTGAGAATATCTACTCCTATCTCTGCCGTAATGACATCATTGGCCAGCACTGAGATCCAGAACACAGATTCAGAAAAGACGGGTCCTGGAGGGAAGACACAGTCTCCCCCAAAATCATCCATGGTTCCAACCTCTTATTCCTTTCCTCATGCTACTCTGGTGGTCCCTGGGGTCACCATTCCAATGACCAGCATTCTAGAAGGAACTTCTTCCAAGGAGACATCCCCGGGGGCCACAACTGGTCTAGACATCTTTCAATCTACCTCCCTCATGAAGACCACAATGAGAGGAGACAGCAGCAGTAGACCCAACCCAACTTCCTGCAGTGACCAAGGCTCTAGCTAAGACATCCATAAATACAATTATGGATATGGAAACTCTCCTACTTTCTACCTCCACTACTGCCCTGGGATCAAGTGTTCCAAGATGGACAAGACAATCATTTGCAAGTTTCCTCTGCCTTCCCTGGACCAACTTCTAAAGGAGTTACAGAATCCAAGGACAGAGGCAGCCCCACATCTACCACACAGGAGAGTGATGCCTAACCCTCTTTTAATCCTGGCTCTGTTGGATGAACCCAGGGAATTACTGGAATCCCTCTGTCCTCATCTTCTTTAGCTCTTAATAGTGCAGCCACTGAGACCATCAGAGTCTGGACCCAGAGGGTTTCCCCAGGTATGGCCTCAGACACATCTGAGGCCACAGCACAGACTGAGTTGTCCTCCTCTGTCCTTTCTTCTTCTATTCTGAGTACTAGCCTCTAAATGCTAAAACGGAGAAAGGTGAAGCTACCTCCAGGGACCTTCCATATTCATTTCCCTTAACAGAGGTTGCACCAGGGAATGTCCTCACTCTCAGCACCTCCACTGAGACCACAGATGTATCCAGTATCAGTCCCAGGATACTCACTAGTTCCTCTATGCACATGGCTTCTAATTTGTCAGAGGGTGCAGACATCATCGAGGTTACAAGCGTTTCAGAGGGGGCAACCATCTCATCTCATCTCAACCCCATCTCATCAATCCACTTGCCTTCTGTGGGGTCCACCATGAGTTCAGAAACCAGATCCAAGGAGACTGCAATCTCTCTGTCCAAGGCCTCAGTGGAGATCCCTAAAGCTGGAGGCAAAACTATTTGGGGTAGCATCTCAGCCCCAAATTTTGGCCATCCCACACCTGACACCTTGGCAACTAGCTCAACTCTGGTTTCAACACGCATCTCAGTAGGAACGGTCATTAACACAGACATCTCTGCAGCAGCAGACACCAGATCCACTGCCCCTCAGAGTTCAGTCTTCCCTGGAACCCCTGTTCCAACCATATCAACAGGAGCCACTGGGTCCAGCCATTTGGATCCAGTTGAACGGTCAACTCATCTGTGGAATACTAGTTCTGCAGGTATAAATCCTAGAGCAGAGACAAAAATCATCTACCTACTTGGCCGCCTCTGCTCCTGATACTGAGATGAATTTAAGAGGCAGATCAACAGTGGGAAGCATCTCTGAGGGAATTCCTCTCTGGAAAACTTCTACACATGACCCAACCACCATTCAGCACATTCTTCCCACGGAAACCACAACAGCAGGGGGTAGCAAAAGGAGAAGCAGCTTGACCCCAGGAAGCACATCACCAGTTAAGGCATCTACAAGAGTGGTATTGGCTACATCAAATGCTGTGGTCTCCACTATCCCAAGTGAGAGCACAGCAGTCCCTAGCTCTGTTTGTGCATTGATGTCAAGTCAATCATTTGAGACCACTCCTTCTGACCTCCCACACTCAACCTCAGGAGGAATCACACATTCCTCAGAGATAACTGGCTCTACACTAACTCCACAGACAACAGCGACTCCCACCTCACCTGAACCCAGCTCTGTTGCAGAGAGCTGCACTCTTTCACCAGACCATGGTGAAGTCACAGGGACCAGCACGTATAAAAGTCAGATGTCTACATCAAGAATGGCTTCACACACATCAAAACCCACAGCAAGTATGGAAGCCAGCTCACATATACTTCACTTCACATCTCTGAAAAAGGGACCAGTCAGCATTGCAGAAGAGGAAGGTAGAGCCATTCCTGTTTCTTCAGTCTACAAAACCAGTCATTAAAGAGCAAACACAAACTTTCCTTACACTCAGAAACCCCTGAAATGAAAAACAGTGAAATGTCCTCTTCACCACATTCATCTCCTGAGACCTCAGGTCCGGAAGGAGGCACCATCATTGATTCTATTCCTGGAAAGAGGTCAACATGCTCCAATCTGTTTTCTTCATTCATTCCAGTGGGAGAAGTTTCTTCCATGGGCAGCACTGCATTATTAGATACCAGCCCAGTCCCCTACATGACAACTGCTCCTATCACCCCACTGACAACCATGTGGACCAGTGTGATTGAATACTCCACACAAACACAGGACACCCATTCTGCAATGATGAATCCTACTCATGTGACACAATCACTCAAAGATCAAACACCTGTACCAGCCTTAGCATCCCCTCCCCATCTTACTGAAGTAGACCCTGGGCTCAGGACACAAGGGAGGAGCTGCCTCAAGGCAACCACTTTTTGGAAACCATCTACAGACATACCCTCCATAGAGATTGAGACTGGCGCAACAAACATTCAATCCACTCCACCCATGGACACCACAACAGCAGGGAGCAGCAGTAGTGGAGTCGCCCTGGACACAGCCTGCATTCCCATGGGAACATCCTCCCCAGCTGAGACATCCACAAACATGGCACTGGAAAGAGGAAGTGCTACAGCCACTGTCTCCATGGCTGGCACAGTGGGACTCCTAGTTTCTAGTGCCCCAGGAAGAAGCAGCAGCCAGTCATTAGGAAGTTTCCTCTGTGCTTTCTGAATCAACCACTGAAGGAGTCACAGATTCTAGTAAGGGAAGCATACCAAGGCTGAGCACACAGGGAAATACAGCTCCCTCCTCCTCTCTTGAACCCAGCACTGCTCAAGGAGGCCAGATGAGTATAAGCATCCATCTACCCTCATCTCCTCCAACTCCTGATGTAGAATTCATAGGGAGCAGCACATTTTGGACCAAGGAGGTCACCACAGTTATGACCTCAGATATCTCCAAGCCTTCAGCAAGGACACAGTCCAGCTCAGCTACCCTTCTGTCCACAGCTTTGAGAAGCACTGAAAGTACAGAAAAAGAAAAACCCAGAACTGCCTCTATGGATCTTCCATCTCCAACTCTATCAATGGAGGTGACACCATGGAGTTCTCTCACTCTCAGAGACATCACCAAGACCGCAGTTTCACCTGACCTCAGCCATGGGGTGCACACCAGCTCTACAGGAACTTTGGACACTGACAGGCCATTGAATACTGGTATCACTAGAGCCTCCAGATTGGAAAACAGCTCCAATACCTCTTCTAAGTCCCTATCTGTGGGAGCCAGCACTCACACATTCATGACTTACACAGAGAGGAGTGAAGTGTCCTCTTCAATATGTCCCCCACCTGAGACCTCAGCTCCTGATGGAGAGACCACTTTGACTTCAACTCCTGGAAACAGGGCCATAAGCTTAATGTTGCCTTTTTCATCCATTCCAGTAGAGGAAGTCATTTCTACAGGCATAACCTCAGGACCAGGCATCAACGCAGCACCCATGACACATACTCCCATTACCCCAGCAACAATTGCATGGACCAGTATAGGCACAACTGAACAGTCCACTCAACCACTACATGCAATTTCTTCAGAAAAAGTTTCTGGGCAGACACAGTCAAGTCCATATGTCAACTCTGTGTCACTGTCTGCTTCCCCTACCCATGAGAATTCAGTCTCCTCTGGAAGCAGCACATCCTCTCCATATTCTCCAGCCTCACTTGAATCATTGGATTCCACAATCAGTAAGAAGACAGAAATCACTTCCTGGCTATGGAAACTCACTGTATCTCTCCCTATTACAACTTGGCCAAGTGCCAGTTTATCTAAGGCACTGTCCTCAGCTCATCCTGGGGTTTCAAACCCAGGTTTAACCACAACTGAATTTCCACTCTTCAGCTGCATCCACATCAGTTGCTAGGCAAAGAAATCCAGAAACAGAGATTTATGGCCCCCAGAATACAGCCCCAAGTACTTTGAACACTGATGCATCCTTGGGCACAAGTATTTCTGAGACTTCTGCAGGGGCAAGTATCAGCTCTGAAGCCCCCCTTTCAACAGCCATAACTTCTAGATCAGATGCTTCTGGTTTTATATCTGAGAGTACTCCTAACCCGAGTTCAGGCACAGCCTCTTAAGCAGGGAGCAAATTAAGTGGGACGATATCCCTGCCCATCTCAGAGTCTTTGGTTTCCTTTAGAATGAGCAAGGATCCAGGGACAGTGTCAATCCCTTTGTGGTCCCATGCAACTACTCATACAGAAACAAGCATCCCAGTAAGCAGCGCAGGTCCACCTGGCTTGTCCACAGTAGCATCAGATGCAATTATCAACCTTCAAATGGGGGTGAGAGTATTCCTAGTGCCCCCTTTTCCTCCTCCCCTGAGACTGAAGCCACAACTATCTCTCATTTCCCAGAAAGGACAACCCATTTATTTAAAACCATTTTATTTCTCACTCCTGAGTTGACTTCAAAAGTGACACCTACTCCTGGGGATTGGACCAGTTCAGCTATGTCCACAAAACCCACAGGAGCCAGTTCCTCCATTACACTGGGAGAGAAAAGGACAATCACCTCTGCTCCTCTAATCACTTCCCCCATAGTTCTCACTGCTAGTTTCACAGAGACCAGCACAGTTTCACTGGATAGTACAACTACAGTAAAAACCTCAGATACACTTGAGGCATGAACAAAAAAATCAGCTTCCTTCAGATAGCATTTCTTCTTCTGATCTGATCAATACCCCACAGCTTCTCCAACTATGGATGTCACTAAAACAGCCTCCGTCAGTCCCACTAGCCTCTCAGGAGTGACAGCAACTTCTTCCCCATCTCTCCTCTTCAGATAGACCCCAGGTTCCCATATCTACAATAGAGACAAATACAGCCACCTCTACATCTATTTCCAGTAACACCTATTCTCTTGATGGGCACTTCAATGTGGGTGGCTGTCCATCCACTTTACCACCCTTTACACTCACCTACCCTGTCAAGACAGGCTTGGCCCCATTAGCCTGATCTAGTCCAGTAGAAACTTTCAGCACCGTGGTCAGCACCAAAACTGCTGCCTGAGAAAATCCTACCTCTCGCAACTCTGTGGTCACTTCTGTTCCAGCACCAGGCACATGGACCAGTGCAGGCAGTACTACTGACTTACCTGCCATGGGCTTTCTCAAGACAAGTCCTGCAGGAGAGACACACTCACTTCCAGCATCAAATATTGGACCAGTCACTGCCTTCGCTCCCCATCTTTCAGGAGCAGTGGTCACTGGATCCAGTGCTACATCAGAAGCCAGTCTTCTCACTATGAGTGAAAGCAAAGCCATTCATTCTTCTCCACAGACCCCAACTACATCCATGTCTGGAGCAAGCTAGGAAACTTCACTACTCCTGAGAGCCTTTTGGTGATCACTGAGACTTCAGACACAACACTCACCTCAAAGATTTTGGTCACAGATACTACCTTGTTTTCACCTGTGTCCACACCGCTTTTTAAACTTCCAACTATAGGGACTCTCTCTGGAGCTTCCTTCCTTACTTTATTACAGGACACTTCAGCCATCCCACTCACTGCCACTGAGCCAACAAGTTCATTAGCTACATCCTTTGATTCCACCCCACTGGTAACTATAGCTTCTGATAGACTTAGCACAAACCCAGAGACTACCCTGACCATGTCAGAGGCCTCAAATGGTGATGCACTGGTTATTAAGACAGAAAGTAACCCAGATAGGAGCATCCCTGGAATCACTATCCAAGGAGTAGCAGAAAGTCCACCCCATCCTCCCACTTCCTCCTCTAAGATTGTTACTCCACAGAACACAGCCTATGAAGGTTCGATCACCATAGGACTTTCTATTTTGCCTGCAGGAATGACAGGTTCCCTTGTATTTAGTCAGAGTTCTGATAACTCAGAGACAACAGCTTTGGTGGACTCATCAGCTGGGCTTGAGAGGGCATCTGTGATGCCACTAACCACAGGAAGCAAGGGTTTGGACAGCTTTAGAGGAATCAGAAGTGGGTCCACTCACTCAACTGAAACCAAAACATTTTCTTCTCTCCCTCTGACCATGAGCCCAGGTGAGGTTATAGCCATGTCTGAAATCACCAGTAACAGACTGACAGCTACTAAATCAACAGCACCCAATGGGATACCTGTGAAGCCCACCAGGGCTGAGTCAGGGCTCCTAACACCTGTCTCTGCCTCCTCAAGCCCATCAAAGGCCTTTTCATCACTGACTACAGCTCCCCCAACTTTGGTGATCCCACAGTCCATATTGACATTTGACTTTTCTGAGGTCCCAAGTTTGAATACTAAGTCTGCTTCTTTACCAACTCCTGGACAGTCCCTGAATACCATTCCAGACTCAGATCTTTCCCACTGTCCAGGTCTCCAGAAAAAGGCCCAAGAGCAGGGATGATGACTTCCACAAAGACCATAAGTGCAAGCTCAGTTCAATCAACAAGTTTTACTGAAATCCCTGAAGGATCTGCCTCCCCTTCTATGGCAGGGCATAAACCCAGAGTCCCCACCTCAGGAACAGGGGACCATAGATATGCCTTGGAGAGCATGCCTTACCCAGACCCAAGCAAGGTATCATCAGATATGAAATTGACCTCTCTTGCATCAAAACTCACAAGTCTCTTCAGCACAGGTCAAGCAGCAAGGTTTGGTTCTAGTTCCTCTCCCACAAGCCTATCCACTGAGAAAGAAACCAGCTTCCTTTCCCCCACTGCATCCACCTCCAGAAAGACTTCACTCTTTCTTGGGCCCTCCGTGGCAAGACAGCCCAACACATTGGTACATCTTCAGACTTCAACTCTGACACTTTCTCCAACATCTATACTAAATATATCCCAGAAGGAGCCTCCTGAGTTAACCTCAAGGCAAACCACTACAGAACAGGAGAGAACAACCGTTGAAACACAGATGTTAAACTTCATACCATCCGAGCCCCCAACACCCCTGCTACCTGCCTCTTCTCCCACAGACCCCACAGCCAGAAGAAAGGGTTCTCCAGAAACAGGAGCACGCTCTATTTCAGCACCTGCCAAGACCTCCTTGGCTGAAAGTAAGAATGCCCTGCTCCTTCCCCAAGTGTGCTGGGGATGAATCTGGAAATAAAGTACATCTTTTAAAACATTTTTTAAATTTTGTATTTAAAATATAAATATTTTAGGTTCAGGGAACATGTGCAGGTTTGTTATATAGGTAAATCGCGTGTCATGGGGGCTTAGGATACAGATTACATCATCACCCAGGTAATAAGCATAGTACCTGATCAGTAGGTTTTTTTTTTTTTTTTTTAAATCCTCTCCCTCCTCTCAGTCTCCACCCTCAATGTGTACTCCACTCTCCATGTGTACTCAAAGTTTAATTCCCACTTATAAGTGAGAACATGTGGTATTTGTAAATTACATCTTTATTTTTCCTAACCTTGAGCTGAAATTTTGCACTTGTTTTATTGATGAGTAGAGGTGCCAAAACAAACCACATTAATCCTAGCAGTGCCTGTGTCTTTGCTAACGATAAAAATTCCAGACACTTTTACATCCTATTACAGTTGTTGCAAACACTTTTTTTTTTTTTTTTTTGAGATGGAGTCTCACTCTGTCGCCCAAGCTGGAGTACAAGGGTACAATCTCAGCTCACTGCAACCTCTGCCTCCCAGGTTCAAGCAATTCTCCTGTCTCAGCCTCCTGAGTAGCTGGGACTACAGGTGCATGCTACCATGCCCAGCTAACTTTTGTACTTTTAGTAGAGATGGAGTTTCATCATATTGATCTGGCTGGTCTCGAACTCCTGACCTCAGGTGATCCACCTGCCTCAGCTTCCCAAAGTGCTGGGATTACAGGCGTGAGCCACCGCTCCTGGCCTTGCAGACGCTTTTAAATATCATGTATGACTTTATTCATAACTATGGTTGTTATTAGGCTTTTCAGTAGACCTTATTTAATGAGTTAGTAAAAGAAGTGACTCTATTATTATATTACATTTGTTTATTAAGATCTTGATAACAACATTTCAATATAATAACTTTCTTTGTTTTTTAAGTTTTAGATTCAGGGGTATATGTGCAGGTTTGTTACATGGATATATTGCATAATGGTGAGCTTTGGCTTCCAGTGAACCCATCATCCGAATAGTGAACATTGCATTCAATAAGTAGTTTTTCAACTGTCGCTTCACTAACCAGGCTGGAGAACAGTGGTGTGTACTCACTCATTACTCACTGTACTCACTGCAGCTCCCCTCCCTTTTTTTTTTCTTTGCAATGATTATTTTTATTTCTTGCTTTGAAGGAAAGACGAAAGTCTATTTAGTTAGGTGCTCTTGTTTTATTCTACAGCTGCATCAAAGTAACTATCTCCAAATTTACAAAACAGTTCATAGAGCCCCCCGGTAATTGAAGTATAAGCTAAATGATCATATCAACAGCATATGAACATTAACTCTGCCAAACAAAACTCAAATCATTAGGTCTTCAAATGACCCATTATTTTTCTAGAAATATTCAATAACCAAATAGCTGACTGAAACTCAGACATGACATTGAGTTTTAGATACTTCCCCATATAGCATATATGTGTATTAACATATTTTGGGCCAAAATTATCTGAAGCATATTATAGTGATCTTTCTTTAGTCAAATCTAAATTCTTTAGGACTATCTCTTTTTACTTATACCTCCCCCTCCCTCTTTTGGAGTGACAGTGTCTATTATTTCTATCTTTATGTCCACATGTACCTATTGTTTAGTTCCCACTTATAAATGAGAATATGCAGTATTTGATTTTCTGTTTTTGAGTTATTTTGCTTAGGATGATGGCCCTCAGCTCCACCCATGTTGCTTTATGGAACATGATTTCATTCTTTTCTCCTTTCCTTTCCTTTTTCCTTTCCTTTTTCCTTTCCTTTCCTTTCCTTTCCTTTCCTTTCTCTTTCTTTCTCTATCTTTCTCTTTCTCCTTCTCTTCTCTTCTCTTCTCTTTTCTTTTTCTCTTTTTCTTTTCTTTTCTTTCTGATGGAGTCTTACTCTATCGCCCAGGCTGGAGTACAATGGTGCGATCTTGGCTCACCGCAACCTCCTGGGTTCAAACAATTCTCCTGCCTCAGCCTCCCAAGTATCTGGGACTACTAGTGTACACCACCACGCCCAGCTAATTTTTGTATTTTTAGTAGAGATGGGGTTTTGCCATATTGGCCAGGATAGTCTTGATCTCTTGACCTTGATAGTCTTGATTGCTCACCTCGGCCTCCCAAAGTGCTGGGATTACAGGCGTGAGCCTCCACCCCTGGCCCCGATTTCATTCTTTGTTATGGCTGCATAGTACTCCAAGGTGTATGTGTACCGGATTTTCTTTATCCACAATGATTTCCTTTGTAATCTAATATTTTGTTCTGTTATTTAATGTTTTATTCTATATTTTTATTTTACTTTATAAGGGAATTCATATGGTTCACAAGCCTGTCAAAGGGGCCTATGATAAAAAGAGGTTAAGAATCCATGCTCTAAACAGAATGTTACTCCATTTTATTTCATTTATTTTTAAAGAGACAGGCTCACTCTGTCATCCAGGTTGGAGTGCAGTGGAGCAATCATAGCTCACTGCAACCCTGAACTCTTGGGCACAAGCAATTCTCCTGCCTCATCTTCCTGAGGAGCTGAGATTACAGGTGCACACCACCATGCCCAGCTAACTAAAAAAATTATTTTGTAGAGAGGGGATCTAGCTATCCTGCTCAGGCTGGTCTCAAACTCCTGGGCTCAAGCAATCCTCCTACTTTGGCCTCCCAAAGTGTTGAGATTACAGAGGTGAGTGGGTGTGCCTGGCTACTTGTCACATTTTAATTTGTGATTACTTATAAAATGAACCCCTTCCCATCTGAGATCTGTCAGTCTTTCTCGTGACAGTGCCTGTTGTCTGTTTTCTACCATGTCCTGTTAGAAGGTTTGATGGGAGGTCACCTGGGCAGCTGTCCAGCTCACTCACTGGGCTCTAGAGCCTCTGAGTTGAAGCAAAATAGAAAGATCAGTCAATGTAAAGAAAGTGCATAAGGCTGAATGCACTAGCTCACGCCTGTAATCCCAACACTTTGGGAGGCCAAGGAGGGTGGATCACCTGAGGTCAGGAGTTTGAAACCAGCCTGGCCAACATGGTGAAACCCCATCTCTACTAAAAATACAAAAGATTAGCCAGGCATGGTGGTGCATACCTATAATCCCAGCTACTTGGAAGGCTGAGGCAGAAGAATTACTTGAACCTGGGAGGTGGAGGTTGCAGTAAGCTGAGATCGTACCATCTGCACTCCAGCCTGGGCAAAAAGGGTGAAACTCCATCTCAAAAAAAAAAAAAAAAAAAAAGAAAAAAAAAGAAAGAAAGAAAGAAAGAAAGAAAGAAAGAAAGAAAGAAAGAAAAAGAAAGTACATAAACTGGCATTCTGAGATAATGGAGAGCTGAACCTTCCTATTGCCCTTTTCTTTCAGCAACTGATAGAACGCTAGTGCCCAAAACAAAGATGTCAAGCCAGCCAGCACAAGGAAATTCCACGTGGCCTTCCCTATCAGAGGGGACAGGGACCAGTCCAGCAGGTAAATATAGATCCTGTTTCATTTCTGCTCTGCCAATGTCACCCAATCCTTTTTTCTTTCCTTTCCTTTTTCCTTCCTTCCTTCCTTCTTTTTTTTTTTTTTTGTTCTCATTCTTTTGAAATTCCTGCCCCATGAAATTTTTTTATATTTTTTAATTTTATGTTTTTCACCCAAGCCTTAAGGCCAGTTTGGGCCACATAGTGAGACCCCATCTCTATAAAAATAATTTTTAAAAACCTGTAAGCTGAGCATAGTACAGTCCTGTAGTCTCAGCTATTCATAAGAGTGAGGTGGGAGGATAGCTTGCTGCTAACTAGAAGTGCTGCCTATTGATTCTGGGAAGAAAAAATATACAAGGCTTCAGTTTCATTATTTTATAAGTAAATTGATAGCAACTTTTCTTTTCCTTCCTCTCCCCTCCTCTCCTTCTCGCCCGCCCTCTCTCCTCTTCTTCTTCCCCTCCTCCTACTGCTCCCTCTCCCTCCCCTCCCCTTCCCTTCCCTTTCTCTCCTTCTTTCTTTCTTTTATTTTTGGGACAGGGTCTCATTCTGTCACCCAGGCTGGGGTGCAGTGGTGTGTACTCACTGCAGTACTCACTGTACTCACTGCAGCCTCAAATTCCGGGGCTCAAGCTATCATCTCCCCTCAGCCTCCTGAGTAGCTGGGACTACAGGCCTGCACTATGCCCAGCTTATTGTGTTTTATTTAATTTTTTTTGGTAGAGATGGGTCTCACTATGTGGCCCAAGCTAGTCTTAAACTCCTGGCTCCAAGAGATCCTCCCACTTCAGCCTCCCAAAGTGCTGGAATTACAGGTGCGAGCCCCTGTGCCCAGCCTAAACAGCATTTTTTTTTTTTTTTGGAAATAGGTCTCCCTCTGTTGCCCAGGCATGATCATGGCTCACTGCAGCCTCAGCCTCCCCAGGCTCAAGTGATCCACCAACCTCAGCCTCCCTTAGCAGCTAGAACTTCAGGTGTCCACCGCCAATTAGTCTGGCTAATTGTGTGTGTGTTTCTTAAATTTTTTTTGTAGAGATGGGTCTTGCTATGTTGCTTGGGCTGGTCTCAAACTCCTGGGCTCAAGTGATTCATCCACTTGGGCCTCCCTAAGGCTGGGATTATAGGCTTGCACCACCACACCCTGCAATAACTAGGTTTAAAATAGGTTCCTTTGATTTCTTGCCACTCTTCTCTGAGGATATTGATCATTTTTTCCCCATAGATATGAACTGCACACTTATGTTGCTTCAACTTACTAATTTACATGATCAATAGTGAAGTAATTCAGCAGGAGAGAATGCTACAGAGTCAATTCTCTCTGTACTTGCTTCTGCTCCAGAGTGAAGGATCTTTCTAAATCAGAGACCATCACTGTGTTCACAGGGAGGACACAGGTAAACTTTAGATGGCAAATGTTGCCTTTGTTACTACAGAGGAAAGGATTATGGATTGAAGTCCTTGGCTGTGCCAAGTTAGAAAAATGTGAAAAAAGGTCCCCAGGAGTGCTCTTGTGATGTCAGGTTTTTCTCACTCCTGTTATTTTCTTGAAGGACTGGGAAAGGATTCAGAGGGAAGAATGAATTTGAAAGAAAATGAAGGTGAAGAGACAGAATGAGCTCATCTCCCCCATCCCCTTTCTTCTTAAATCCTTAAGTAGCTTTACAGTGAATTAAGATTTGGGGATTCCTAGAGGAGGCTGAAAGTTTTAAGCTGAAACTGATTTAGCAAGGTCAAGCTCCAAAGAGAAACGTGGAAATAGTTTAGGGGTGGCCTCTTTCATGGGTGAAGACCTGGACCATCACATCCTCCCTTATACAAAGAGCCCTTTGATATGGGGCATGGGGAAAAACTGAGCTCCAGGTGACAGTTTCTCCTGAGCAAGCCAGATGGTCAAAGCTCTAACTTCACTATCTCCCTTGGAATGTTTACTATATTAACCTGGTGTTCAGAGGCTTAAAGTCTAAGAATTAAAAGCTTAACATTTTCTTTCCCATTGAAGGAGGAAATAGTTTTAATTGAAATTCCAGGAGGTAATAATGACAGTGTCAAACAAAAAGAAAGCTTCATCTTCTGCACCACTTGCAGATACCCCACCGACTCACTTTCTAATCACAGGCACATCCCCAGGACGCCCAGAAATGTCTACAGCCCTCAAAACCATGAGCTCCAAGGAACCCAGCATCAGCCCAGAGATTAAGTCCACTGTGAGCAACTCACCTTGGAAGACTCCAGAAACAGCCGTTCCCATGGAGACCACAGTGGAACCAGCCACCCTGCAGTCCACAGATGTTGGAAGTGGTAGCACCAGCCTCTCTCATCTGCCCACAGGAGCCACATCACCAACCAAGTCAGCAATAAAAAATATGGTGGCTACAGACAGGGTCTCACTCTCCCCATCCCCACCCGAGGCTTGGACCAACCTTTATTCTGGAACTCCAGGAGGGACCAGGCAGTCACTGGCCACAACGTCCTCTGTCTTCCTAGAGTCACCAACTGCTAGAAGCACCACAGGAAATGGTCAGCAAAGCAGTCCAGAACTGATTTCAAAGACCACTGGAATGGATTTCTCTGTGTGGCATGGCTCTACTGGAGGGACCACAGTGGACACACATGTCTCTCTGAGCACATCTTCCAATATCCTTGAAGAACCTATTACCAGCCTAAACTCTGTGAGCTCAGTGGTAGATAACTTCAAATTTAAAACCAAGGCATTGGTCAGCACCACAGCTATTCCCTCCACTGTACTGAGTAACAAGACAATGGCAGCTGAACAACAGACAAGTCCATCTGTGGATGAGGCTGTTTCATCAACTAGCTCATTGTCACATCAGACATCTGGGAGTGACAGCACCCTTGGTGCATCTCCTGATGTCACAAACACATTACACATCACCTCCACAGCACAAACCATCTCACTAGTATCTCTGCTCTCTGGGGACCAAGGCATTACCAGCCTCACCAATGCCTCAGGAGGAAAAACAAGCTCTGCATCGTCTGTCACATCCCCTTCAACAGGGCCTGAGACTCTGATGGGCATCATAAGTGTAGTGACTAGTGACACTTCCCCTACTGCTGGGCAACTATCCCAGACCTCCTCTCCTGTGGAAGTGAGCATCACTGGTGTAGCCACAGCTCCTACTCCAGGTATGACCACCACCATCACTACCATAGGAACCAACTCAATCTTGACTACTACACCCAGCCCAGAAGGGGGTATGAGTACCATGGACAGCACCCTGGCCACAGAGAGGAGCACATCTATAGAGCACACTCCCACCTGGTCCTCCACAGCTGCATCAGATCCCTGGACTGTCACAGACATGGCTTCAAACTTGAAAGTGGCAAGTTCTCCTGGAACAATTTCTACAATGCATACAACTTCATTCTTAGCCTCAAGCACTGAATTGGACTCCATGTCTACTCCCAATGGCCTTATTACTGTCATTGGAACCAGCCTGGTCACTCCATCCTCTGATGCTTCAGCCATAAAGACAAGCAGTACCCGTGAAATAACATTGAGTCCTTCAGTTACAACTGTGTCTACTCCCATCTCAAATTTTTCTCGTATCCAGAGCACCTCAGTTGCTGACATTTCAAGTACAAGTTGGACTCCCAGTAGAACAGAAACAGGAGGTGTGCCTGTTTCAATGGCTTCTACTAATTATGCCAGTACAAAGACTGGCCCAAATATGCCCCTGTCCACTGTTCTGTTTGATTCTCTATCCACTTTTGATTGGGACACTGGGAAATCTGTGTCATCAGCCACAGTCACTACCTCAGCTCCTCAGGGGGCCACAACTCCTCAAGAACTCACTTTGGAGATGACGATCAGCCCAACTACCTCACAGCCACCCTTCTCTACAGGAGACATTACAGGTGGAGTCACACCAGCTGCAGTGGTAAGGAGCTCTGGAGTTACTCTTTCAAGACCAGACCTCATAAGCAAAAAGGCAGAGCAGAGTTCTACTCAGTTTCCCACCACAACTTCTAGACATCCAGAAGAGACCATCAAGGTTACCAGCTCCTCCAGTTTATTAAGGACCTCGGATACACCAGGCATAAGCTTGGAATCTGCAATTACTTCATCCTCAAACTGGAAAAGCAGCCCATATAAGAGCCCATATGCCCCTTCTGAGTCCACCACAGACAAAGAGTCAATTCACCCTTCTACAAACATAGTAGAGACAACACCATGGGTCACAAGTTCCAAACATCCTTATTCCACTGTCCCAGCCCGCTCAGAATCATCCAAGCTCACATCTCCAGTGGTTACTGCCTCCACCAGGGGACAAGCCATTTTTTCTGTATCAACGACCACATGGCCAGAGTCTACAAGGGCTGGAACAGAGCCTAATTCCTCCTTGACTGCTGAACTGAGGGACTTCAATCCTTACATGGACACCAGCTCAACCACGCAAACAAGTATTATCTCTTCGCCAGGTTCCACTGCTATCACCAAGGGACCTAGAACAGAAATTACCTCCTCCTCTGAGAGAATATCCAGCTCATTCCTTGCCCAGTCTATGAGGTCATCAGACAGGCCCTCAGAAACCATCACCAGGCTGTCTAACTTCCCTGCCATGACAGAATATGGAGGAATGACTCTCGCTATGCAAACAGATCCACCTGGCACTACATCACTAAGTGCACCTACCTTGGACACATCAGCCACAGCCTCCTGGGCAGGGACTCCATTGGCTATGACTCAGAGATTTACATACTCAGAGGAGACCACTCTCTTCAGCAAAGGTCCTGAGGATACATCACAGCCAAGGCCTGCCTATGTGGAAGAAACCAGCTCTTTCTCTTCCCTGGCACCTATCCATGCCACAACCTCACCTTCCAATACTTTGTTGACATCACAAGAACACAGTCCCTCCTTTACTCCACCTGTGACCTCAGTTCTCTGGCCTGAGACCTCTGGCATGGGGAAGACCACTGACTTGTCAAGGATAAGCTTGGAACCTGGGACCAGTTTACCTCCCAATTTAGGCAGTACAGCTGGTGAGGCATTATCCACTTATGAAGCCACCAGAGATACAAAGGTGATTCATCCTTCTGAAAACACAGCAGTGATAAATGTGGAGGCAACCAGTTCTGAACATTCTCCTGTCCCAGTCCATACACAGCCATCCAAAGCCACATCTCCAATGGTTACCCCCCACACCATGAGAGATAACACTGCTTCCACATTAGTGTTTGGCTTCTCTGAGACCACAGAGATTGAGACAGCATCCTCTCTGAATCCAGGACTTCAGGAGAGAAGCACATCCCAAGTGACCAGCTCTGCTACAGAGACAAGCACTGTCATTACCCATGCGTCTACTGGTGATGCTCCTACCGAAGTCACCAAGACACAAGTCACTTTCCCTAGCAGAACATCCATCCCAAGCCCTTATCACTTCAAAACTTCTACCAACACATTTACAAATGTGAGCACCAACCCATCCACTTCTCTGATAATGACAGAATCTTCGAGAGTGACCATCACTACCCAAACAGATCCTACTGGAGCCACAACACAGGGTCCACATCTCTTGGACACAACAACCATGCCTTACTTGACAGAGACTCCATTGGCTGTGACTCCAGATTTTATGCAATCAGAGAAGACCACTCCCATGAGCAAAGGTCCCAGGGATGTGTCATGGACAAGCCCTCCTTCTGTGGCAGAAACCAGCTCTCCCTCTTCCTTGACGCCTATCTTGGTCACAACCTTACCTCCTGCCACTTCCACACTACAAGGGCAAAGTACATCCTCTCCTGTTTCTATGGCTTCAGTTCTCACCTCTGAACTGATAAAGACCACAGATAAATTGAACACGAGCGTGGAACCCGTGACCATTTCACCTCAAACTTTGAACAACACATCAAGTGAGATACTGGCCACTTCAGAAGCCACCACAGATATAGAGAAAATTCATCCTTCCATAAACAAAGCAGTGACCAATACGGAGACCAACAGTTCATCACATGAATTGCATTCCACTCTCCCAGCCAGCTCAGAACCATCTACAACCACATCTCCAGTGGTTCCTGCCTCCACCATGGAGGACACTCTTGTTTCTACATCAACATCTGCTTTTGAGACAGCAGACATTGAGGGAGAGCCAGCATCCTTTCTGACTCCTGGGCAAGGCAAGAACAGCACCACCCAGGAGTCAAACATCATCCTCTCCAGTGTGTCTGTGGGAGCTGCTACTGAAGCCTCCAAAATGGAAGTCTCCTCTTCTGATGCAACATTTATACCAACTCATGCTCAGTCAACAAAGCCCCCAGATATTTTTTCAGTGACCAGCAGTAGACTATCAAACTCTCCTCCCATGGCAATATCTACCCACATGACCACTACCCAGCCAGGGTCTTCTGGAGCTACATCAAAGATTCCACTTGCCTTAGACACATCAATGTTGGAAACCTCAGCAGGGACTCCATCAGTGGTGACTGAGGGGTTTGCCCACTCAAAAATAACCACTGCCATGAATAATGATGCCAAGGACATGTCACAGACAAACCCTCCCTTTGTGGAAGAAGCCAGCTCTCCCTCTTCTCAGGCACCTGTTCTTGTCACAACCTTAGCTTCTCCTGTTGCTTCCACATTGCAAGGGCATGGTACCTCCTCTCCTGTTCCTATGTCCTCAGTTCTTACCTCTTCACTGATAAAGATCACAGGGAAGGTGGATACAAGCTTAGAAAAAGTAACCAGTTCACCTCAAAGTATGAGCCACACTTTGGATGACATATTGGCCACTTCAGCAGCCACCACAGATATAGAGACAACGCATCCTTCCATAAACATAGCCGTGACCAATGTGGGGACCACCCGTTCAGCATTTGAATTGCGTTCCACTGTCTCAGCTGACTCAGAGCCATCTAAAGTCACATCTCCATATGTTACCACCTCCACCATGGAAGATGCCATGATTTCCAGATCAATACCTAGATCCTCTAAGACTACAAAAATTGAGACTGAGACGACTTCCTCCTTGACTCCTAAACTGAGGGAGACCAGCATCTCCCAGGAGATCACCTCATCCACAGAGACAAGCACTGTTCCTTACAAAAAGCTCACTGGTGTCACCGCCAAGGTATCCAGGACAGATGTCACTTCCTCTAGCAATACATCCATCCCTGGTCCTGATCAGTCCACAGTGTCACTAGACATATCCACAGAAACCATCACCAGGCTCTTTACCTCCCCTATAATGGCAGAATCTGCAGAAATAATCATCACCACCCAAACAGGTCCTCATGGGGCGACATCACAGGATGCCTTTACCACAGACACATTAAATACAACCCCCCAGGCAGGGATCCACTCAGTTATGACTCATGGATTTTCACAATCAGATGTGACCACTCTTATGAGCGGAATTCCAATGGATGTGTCATGGACAAGTCCTCCCTCTGTGGATAAAACCAGCTCCCCCTCCTCCTTTCTGTCTTTACCTACAATGACCACACCTTCCCTGGTTTCCTCTACCTTACCAGAGGATAGGCTCTCTTCTCCTGTGACTTCACTTCTCACCTCTGGCCTGGTGAAGATCACAGATATATTACATACACGCTTGGAACCTGTGACCAGTTCACTTCCACATTTCAGCAGCACCTCAGATAAGATACTGGCTACTTCTAAAGATGGTCAAGGCACAGCGATAATCGATCCTTCCATAAACACTGCAGAGACCAACGTGAAAGTCAACAACTCTGGACATGAATCCCATTCCTCTACACTGGCTGATTCAGAGACACCCAAAGCCACAGCTCAAACGGTTATTGCCACCACTGTAGGAGATCCCACTCCTTCCACATCAATGCCAATGCATGGTTCCTCTGAGACTACAAACATTAAGAGAGAGCCAACATATTTCTTGACTCCTAGACTAACAGAGACTAGCACCTCTAAGGAGTCCAGCTTTTCCACAGACATGAGTTTTCTACTGTCCAAAGTCCCTACTGATACTATCACTGAGGTCTCCGGCAGAGAGGTCATCTCTTCTAGCAAAATATCCACCCCAGATCATGATAGGTCTACAATGCAATCTGACACCTTCACAGGAGAGAACACGAGGGTCTTTACCTCCTCCATTATGACAAAATCTGCAGAAATGACAATCACCACCCAAGCAAGTCCTCCTGGGTCTGCATCACACGGTACTCTTCCCTTGAACACATCAACCACACGTTCCCAGGGAGGGACTCATTCAACCGTGACTCAGGGATTCCCACACTCAGAGGTGACCACTTTTATGAGCATGGGTCCTGAGAATGTGTCATGGATGACAACTCCCCCTGTGGAAGAAACCAGCTCTGCTTCTTCCTTGATGTCTTCACCTGCCGTGACCTCCCCTTCTCCTGTTTCCTCCATATTACCAGAGAGCATCCCCTCCTCTCCTCTTCCTGTGACTGCACTTCCTATTTCTGTTCTGGTGACAACCACAGATGTGCTGGGCACAACAGGCCCAGAGCCTGTAACCAGTTCACCTCCAAATCTGGGCAGCACCACATATGAGAGGCTGATAACCTACAAAGACAATGCACATACAGAAACCTTGTATCCTTCCACAAACACAGCAGTGGCCAATGTAGGCACCTCCAGTTCTGGACATGAATCACAATCCTCTGTCCCAGCTGACTCAGAGACATCCAAAGCCACATCTCCAATGGGTACAACCTCCACCATGGGGGACGCAAGTGTTTCCATATCAACTCCTGATAGCTCTCAGACTAGTCAAGTTCAAACAGAGTCAGTGACATCCCTGATCCCTGGATTGAGGGACAGCAGTATGTCTGAGAAGACCAGCTCACCGACAGAAACAAATACTGCCTTTTCTTACATGCCCACTGGTGCTACTACTCAGGCCTCCAGGACAGAAATCTCCTCTAGCAGAACGTCCATCTCAGAGCTTGATCAGTCCACAAGGGCACCCGACATCTCCACAGGAATGATCACCAGGCTCTTTACCTTCCCCATCATGACAAAATCTGCAGAAATGACCATCACCACTCAAACAACCACTCGTGGAGCTACATCACAGGGTACCCTTCCCTCGGACACATCAACCACACTCTTCCAGGGAGGGAATCATTCAACTGCGTCTCAGGGATTCCCACACGCAGAGATAACCACTTTTAGGAGCAGAACTCCTAGAGATGTGTCATGGATGACAAATCCCCCTGTGGAAGAAACCAGTTCTGTGTTTCCCCTGATGTCTTCACCTGCCATGACATCTCATTCTGTTTCCTCTACATTACCAGAGAGCATCCCCTCCTCTCCTCTTCCTGTGACTGTACTTCCTACTTCTATTCTGGTGAAAACCACAGATGTGCTGGGCACAACAGGCCCAGAGCCTGTGACCAGTTCACCTCCAAATTTGAGCAGCACCACAAATGAGAGACCAACCACTTACAAAGACACTGCACACACGGAAGCCATGCATCCTTCCACAAACACAGCAGTGGCCAATGTAGGGACCTCCAGGTCTGGATATGAATCACAATCTTTTGTCCTAGCTGACTCAGAGACATTGAGAGTCACACCTCCGACGAGTACCACCTCCACCCTGGGGGACACAGGTGTTTCCATATCAACTCCTGATATCTCTCAGACTAGCCAAATTCAAACAGAGTTAACGGCATCCCTGATCCCTACATTGAGGGAGAGCATCACATCTGAGAAGACCAGCTCACCGACAGAGACAAATACTGCCATTTCTTATGTGCCCACTGGTGTTACTACTCAGGCCTCCAGGACAGAAATCTCCTCTAGCAGAACATCCATCTCAGAGCTTGATCAGTCCACAATGACACTCGACATCTCCACAGGAATGACCACCAGGCTCTTCACCTCCCCCACCATGACAAAATCTGCAGACATGACCATCACCACTCAAACAACTACTACTGGGGCTACATCACAGGGTACCCTTTCCTTGGACACATCAACCACACTCTTCCAGGGAGGGACTCATTCAACTGCATCTCAGGGATTCCCACACCCAGAGATAACCACTCTTAGGAGCAGAACTGGAGATGTGTCATGGATGACAACTTCTCCGGTGGAAGAAACCAGCTCTGCGTCTTCCTTGATGTCTCCTGCCATGACCTCCCCTTCTCCTGTTTCCTCCACATTACCAGAGAGCATCCCCTCCTCTCCTCTTCCTGTGACTGTACTTCCTACTTCTGTTCTGGTGACAACCACAGATGTGCTGGGCACAACAAGCCCAGAGCCTGTAACCAGTTCACCTCCAAATTTGAGCAGCACCACAAATGAGAAACCAGCCACTTACAAAGACACTGCACACACAGAAGCCATGCATCCTTCCACAAACACAGCAGTGGCCAATGTAGGCACCTCCAGTTCTGGACATGAATCACAATCTTCTGTCTCAGCTGACTCAGACACATCCAAAGCCACATCTTCAATGGGTACCACCTTCACCACGCGGGATACAAGAGTTTCTACATCAAATCCTGCTTTATTTGAGGCTAGAATTCAGACGGAATCAACATCCTCTTGGACTCCTGGATTGAAGGACACCAGCATGTCTGAGGAGACCAACACTGTGACAGAGACAAGCACTTTCCTTTCAGAAGTGCCCACTACTGCTACTACTGAGGTCTCTAGGACAGAAGTTATCACCTCTAGCAGAACATCCATCTCAGGGCCTGATCATTCCAAAATGTCACCATATATCTCCACAGAAACCATCACCAGCCTCTCCACTTCTCCTGTTGTAACAGGATCCACAGAAATGACGATCACCAGCCAAACAGGTCCTATAGGGACTACCTCACAGGCTACCCTTACCCTGGACATATCAAGCACAGCTTCCTGGGAAGGGACTCACCCACCTGTGACTCAGAGATTTTCACACTCGGAGACCGCTACCAGGAGCAGAGGTACTATGACTATGTCATGGCAAAGCCCTCCCTCTGTGGAAGAAACCAGTTCTCCATCTTTGCTGGTGCCTTTACCTGCAATAACCTCACGTTCACCTCCTTATTCCACACTATCAGGAAGTAGCCCCGCTTCTCTCCCTGTGACTTCCCTTCTCCTCTCTGGCAGGATGAAGACCACAGACATGTTAGATGCAAGCTCAGAATCTGTGACCAGCTCCTTATCAAGTGCAAGTAGCTTCTCAGGTGAGATACCTACTTCTGATGCCTCGACAAATACAGAGACAATTCACTTTTCAGAGAACACAGCAGAAAACAACATGGGGACCACCAGTTTTATGCATGAACTACATTCCTATGTCTCAGTCCACTCCCAGCCATCCAGAACCACAACTCCAAATGTTACTGGATCTATGATGGAGGATACTATTGTTTCCACTTCAACACTTGGTTTTTCTGAGACTGCAAATATTGACAGAGAGTCAACACCCTCCCTGACTCCTGAATTGATAGAGAACACCACCTCCCTGGTGATGAACTCAACTACAGAGTCAAACATTGTTTTCTCCAGTGTGTCCATGGGTGCTGCTACTGAGGTCTCCAGGACGGAAGTCCCCTATTATGATTCTACATTCATGCCAGCTTCTGCTCAGTCAACAAAGTCCTCAGACATTTCACCTGAAGCCAGCAGTAGACATTCTAACTCTTCTCCCTTGACAATATCTACACACAAGATCATCACCACACAAACAGGTCCTTCTGGGGTGACATCTCTTGGCCAACTGACCTTGCAAACATCAACCATAGCCACTCCAGCAGGGACTCCATCAGCTGGAACTCAGGATTTTGTAGATTCAAAAACAACCACTGTCTTGAACAATGATCTCAATGATATGTCGAAGACAAGCCCTTTCTCTGCAGAAGAAGCCAACTCTCTCTCTTCTCAGGCACCTATCCTTGTGACAACCTCACCTTCTCCTGTAACTTCCACATTGCAAGTGCACAGTACCTCTTCTGTTTCTGTGACCTCAGTACTCACCTCTCCATTGGCAAAGATCACAGACATGGACACAAGCTTAGAGCCTGTGACCCGTTCACCTCAAAGTTTAAGCAACACCTCAGCCACTTCAGAAGCCACCATAGATACACACATGATGCATCCTTCTATAAACAGAGCAGTGACCAATGTTGGGACAACCAGTTCACCACATGAATTCCATCTTACCGTCTCACTGGACTCAGAGCCATATAAAGCCACATCTCCAGTAGTTATCACTTCCACCATGGGGGACTCTATAGTTTCCACGTCAACGTCTAGATCCTCTGAGATGACAAAGATTGAGTCTGAGACAACTTCCTCCCTGAGCTTTAGAAGGAGAGAGACCAGCACCTCCCAGAAAATCAGCTCATCCTCAGACACAAGCACTGTGTTTGATGAAACACTCACTGCTGCTCCTACTGAGGTCTCCAGAACAGAAGTCACCTCCTCCAGCAGGACATCCATCCAAGGTGCTGAAAAGTCCACAATGTCACCAGACACCTCCACAGGATCTGTCACTGTGCTCTCTACCTTTGCTGGCATGACAAAATCTGAAGAAATGAACATTGCCACCCAAACAGGTCTTCCTGGGGCTACATCACAGGGTACCCTTACCTGGGACACATCAATCACAACCTCACAGGCAGGGACCCATTCAGCTATGACTCATGGGTTTTCACAATTAGATGTGTTCACTCTTACGAGCATAATTCCTGAAGATGTGTCAGGGACAAGCCCACTCTCTGTGGAAGAAAACAGCTTTCCCTCTTCCCTTCTGTCTTCACCAGCAATAACCTCACCTTCCCCTATTCCAACTACATTGCAAGTGGGTAGGCCCTCTTCTCCTGTTCATCTGACTTCACTCCCCACTTCTGGCCTGGTGAAGACCACAGATATGCTGGCATCTGTGGCCAGTTTACCTCCAAATTTGGGCAGCACCTCAGATAAGATACCGACTACTTCTGAAGATGTTAAAAATACAGAGAAAATGTATTCTTCCACAAACATAGCAGTAACCAAGGTGGAGACCACTACATCTGAAAATGAATCTTATTCGTCTATCCCAGCCTACTCAGAAACACCTAAAGTCACCTCTCCAATGGTTACCTCTTTCACCATAAGGGACACCATTGTTTCTACATCCGTGCCTGGATCCTCTGAGATTACAGGGATTGAGATGGAGTCAGCATCCTCGCTGGCCCATGGGCTGAAGGATACCAGCTCCTCCCAGGAGCCCATCTTATCCACAGAGAAAAGTGCTGTCCTTTACAAAGTGACCACTGGTGCTACACTTGAGAATTCTAGGACAGAAGTTGCCTCTTCTAGAAGAACATCCATTCCGAGCCCTGATCATTCCATGTCACCAGACATCTCCACTGAAGTGAATTCCAGGCTGCCTATCTCCCCTGGAATTACAGAATCTGCAAAAATGACCATCATCACTCAAACAGGCCCTCTTCTTGGATCTACATCACAGGGCATATTTATCTTGGACACACCAACTATACCCTCCAGGGAAGAAACACACTCAGGTGTCACTCAAGAATTTCCACACTCAGAGATGAACACTCTCATGAACAAGGATCCTGAGATTCTGTCACAGACAGTCCCTCCTTCTATAGAAAAAACAAGCTTCTTCTCTTCCCTGATGCCTTTACCTGCCATGACTTTACCTTCTCCTATTTCCTCAACATTACCAAAGACCATTCACACCACTCCTTCTCCTATGACTTCACTGCTTACCTCCAGCTTAGTGACGACCACGGACACGTTGGACACAAGCCCAGAACCTAGAACCAGTTCACCTCCAAATCTGAGTAGTACTTCAAATGAGATACTGATGACAGATGAAGACACCACAGATATGGAAGCCATGCATCCTTTCACAATAACAGCAGTGACTAAGGTGGAAACCACCAGTTCTGGAAATAAGTCACAATCCTCTGTCCTAGCTGACTCAGAAAAACCCAAGGCCACAGCTTCAATGGTTACCACCTCCACCATGGGGCATACAACTATTTCCACATCAAGGTCTGTTTCCTCTGAAACTACAAAAATTCAGAGTGATTCAACATATTCTTTGACTCCTGGACTAAGGGAGACCAACATCTCCCAAAATACCAGCTTTCCCACTGACGCAAATATTGTTCTTTCAGAAGTCTCCACTGGTACTACTGCTGAGGTCTCCAGGACAGAAGTCCCCTCCTCTGGTAGAACATCTGTCCCTGGCCCTGCTCAGTCCACGATGTTGCCACAAGTACCCACAGGAACAATGACGAGGCTCTTTGCCTCGCCCACCATGACAGAATCAGCAGAAATGGCCATCCCCACCCAAACAGGTCCTTCTGGGTCTACATCACAGGATACCCTTACCTTGGACACATCCACCACAAAGTCCCAGGCAAAGATTAATTCAACTTTGACTCAGAGATTTTCACATGCAGAGATGACCACTCTCATGAGCAGAGGTCCTGGAGATATGTCATGGCAAAGCTCTCCCTTTGTGGAAAAACCCAGCTCTCTCCCTTCCCTCCTTCCTTCCCTGCTGTCTTTACCTGCCACAACCTCACCTCCTCCCATTTCCTCCACATTACCAGTGAATATCTCCTCCTCTCCTCTTCCTGTGACTTCACTTCTCACCTCTGGCCCAGTGATGACCACAGATGTGTCACGCACAAACCCAGGACCTGTAGCCAGTTCACCTCCAAAGTTGAGTCACACTTCAAATGAGAGACTGATCACTGGCAAGGACGCCACAGATACAGAAGCTGTGCATCCTTCCACAAACACAGCAGTGTCCAATGTGGAGACCTCCAGCTCTGGACATAAATCCCCTTCCTCTGTCTTAGCTGACTCAGATACATCCAAAGCCACATCACCAATGTTTATTACCTCCACCCAGGAAGACACAACAGTTGCCATATCAACCCCTCTATTTGTGGAGACTAGTAGAATTCAGAAAGAGTCAATTTCCTCCCTGGCCCCTAAATTGCGGGAGACCAGCAGCTCTGTAGAGACAAGCTCAGCCACAAAGACAAGTGCTGTCCTTTCTGAAGTGCCCGCTGGTACTACTACGGAGGTCTCTAGAACAGAAGTCACCTCCTCTAGCAGAACTTCCATCTCTGGTCCTGCTGAGTCCACAGTGTTGCCAGAAATATCCACTACAAGAACAATCATTAGGTTCCCTTCCTCCCCCATCATGACAGAATCATCAGAAATGACCATCAAGACCCAAACAGGTCCTCCTGGGTCTTCACCAGACAGTACCCTTACATTAGACACATCAACCACACCCTCCTTGTTAATAACCCACTCTACTATGACTCAGAGATTTCCACACTCTGAGATAACCACTCTCATGAGTAGAGGTCCTGGAGACGTGCCATGGCCTAGCTCTCCCCTTGTGGAAGAAACCAGCCCTCCATCTTCCCAGCTGTCTTTACCTGCCATGATCTCACCTTCTCCTGTTTCTTCCACATCACCAGCAAGTAGCCACTCCTCTTCTGCTTCTGCGACTTCACTTCTCATACCTGGTCAAGTGAAGACTACCGAGGTATTAGACACAAGCGCACAGACTGAAACCAATTCACCTCCAAGTTTGAGCAGCACCTCAGTTGAAATACTGGCCACCTCTGAAGTCACCACAGAGACAGAGAAAATTCATCCTTTCTCAAACACAGCAGTAACCAAAGTTGGATATTCCAGCTCTGGACATGCATCCCCTTTCTCTATCCTAGCTGACTTAGAGACAACCAAAGCCACATCTCCAATGGGTACTGTTTCCATCATGGCGGATACAGGTGTTTCTACATTAACTCCTGCCTTATCTGACACTAGGAAAATTCATACAGAGCCAGCTTCCTCACTGCCCACCAGACTGAGGGAGACCAGCACCTCCAAAGAGACCAGCTCAGCCACAGAAACAAACACTGTTCTTTCTGAAGTGTCCACTGGTGCTACTACTGAGGTCTCCAGGACAGAAGCCATCTCCCCTAGCAGAACATCCATCTCAGGCCTTGAGCAGCCCACAGTGTCACAAGACATCTCCACAGAAACCATCACCAGGATTACTACCTCCTCTGTCATGACAGAATCTGCAAAAATGACCATCACAACCCAAACACGTCCTTCAGGGTCTACGCCAGAAAGTACTCTTAATTTGGATACAGCAACCACACCCTCTTGGGTAGGAACCCACTCTACAGTGATTCAGGGATTTCCACTCCCAGAGATGACCACTTTCATGAGAAGAGGTTCTGGAGGTGTGTCATGGCCTAGCCCTCCCTTTGTGAAAGAAACCAGCCCTCCATCTTCCCCGCTGTCTTTACCTGCCATGGCCCCACCTCATCCTGTTTCCACCACGTTACCAGCACATATCCCCGCCTCTCCCCTTCCTGTGACTTCACTTCTCACACCTGGCCCGGTGACAGATGTCTTGGTCATAAGCACAGAACTTGGAACCAGTTCATCTTCAAATTTGAGCAAAACCTCCCATGAGAGACTGACCACTTACAAAGACAGTACACATACAGAAGCCATGCATCCTTCTACAAACACAGGAGTGACAAATGTGGTGACCACCAGCTCTGGATATAAATCACAATCCTCTGTCCTACCTGACTCAGAGACATCCAAAGCCTCTTCTCCAATAGATACCACCTCCACCATGGGGGATACAAGTATTCTCACATCAACTCCTGCCCTCCTTGACACTAGGAGGATTCAGACAGAGCCAACATCCTTCCTGACCCCTGGATTGAGGGAGACCAGCAGCTCTGATGGGACCAGCTCAGGCACAAAGATGAGTACTGTCCTTTCTAAAGTGCCCACTGGTACTACTACTGAGATCTCCAAGGAAGATGTTACCTCCATCCCAGGTCCCGCTCAGTCCACAATGTCACCAGACATCTCCACTGGAACCACCATCAGCTGGTTCTCTACATCCCCTGTCATGACAGAATCAGCAGAAATAACCATGACCACCCACACAAGTCCTTTAGGGGCTATAACGCAAGGCACCAATACTTTGGACACATCAAACACAACCTCTTTGACAATGACACACTCACCTGTATCTCAAGGATTTTCACACTCACAGATGAGCACTCTTATGAGGAGGGGTCCTGAGGATGTGTCATGGATGAACTCTCCCCTTCAGGAAAAAACTAGCTCTTCCTCTTCTCCAGTGTCTTCACCAGCCACAACTTCACCTTCTCCTGTTTCCTCCACAATACCAGAGAGTATCCCATCCTCTCCTCTTACTATGACTTCATTCTTCATGTCTGGCCTGACAAAAACTATAGATATGTTGCACAAAATCTCAGAACCTGTAACCAACTCACCTGCAAATTTGAGCAGCACCTCAGTTGAAATACTGGCCACTTCTGAAGTCACCACAGATACAGAGAAAACTCATCCTTCTTCAAAGAGAGCAGTGACTGATGTGGGAACTTCCAGTTCTGGACATGAATCCCCTTTCTCTGTCCTAGCTGACTCACAGACATCCAAAGCCACATATCCAATGGCTATCACTTCCACCATGGAGAATATAAGGGTCTCCACATCAATTCCTGGCTTTTTCAGAACTAGCAGAGTTCAGACAGAACCAACATCCTCCCTGACCCTTGGACTGAGGGAGACCAGCAGCTCTGAGGGGACCAGCTCAGCCACAGAGATAAGCACTGTCCTTTCTGGAGTGTCCACTGGTGCCCCTGCTGAAGTCCCTAGGACAAAAATCACCTCCTCTAGCAGAACATCCATCTCAGGCCCTGCTCAGCTCACAGCGTCACCAGACACCTCCACAAAAACCATCACCAGACTCCTTACCTCCATGATGACAGAATCAGCAGGAATGACTATCAAGACGCAAACAGATCCTCCTGGGGCTGCACCAGAGAGTCCTCTTACTGTGGACATATCAACAGCTCCCTACTTGGTAGAAACCCACTCAACTATGATTCAGAGATTTCCACACTCAGAGATGTCCACCCTTGTGAGCACAGGCCCTGGCAATGTGTTACAGCCTAGTCAACCCTCTGTGGAAGAAACCAGCTCTGCCTCTTCACTGCTGTCTTTACCTGCCACAACCACACCTTCTCCTGTCTCCTCTACATTAGTGAGGGGTTTCCCTTCCTCTTCTTTTTCTGTGGCTTATCTTGTCACCCCTGGCCTGGTGATAACCACAGACATGACAGGCATAAGCAGAGAACCTGGAACCAGTTCCACTTCAAATTTGAGCAGCACCTCCCATGAAAGACTGACCACTTTGGAAGACACTGTAGATACAGAAGCCACACATCCTTCCACACAGACAGCAGTGACCAACGTGGGGACCTCCAGTTCTGGACATGAATCACAGTCTTCTGTCCTAGCTGACTCAGAGACAACCAAAGCCACATCTCTGATGGTTGCCACCTACACCATGGAGGATATGAGTGTTTCCATATCCACTTCTGACTTCTTTGAGACCAGCAGAATTCAGATAGAGCCAACACCCTCCCTGACCCCTCGATTGAGGGAGACCAGTAGCTCTGAGGGGATCAGCTCAGCCCCAGAGAGAAGCACTGTCCTTTCTGAAGTGCCCAGTGGTGCTCCCACTGAAGTCTCCAGGACAGAAGTCATCTCCTCTAGTGGGACATCCATGTCAGAGCCTGATCAGTCCACAGTGTCACCAGACATCACCACTGAAGTGATCACCAGGCTTTCCACCTCTCCCATTATGACAGAATCAGCAGAGAGTGCCATCACTATTCATACAGGTTCTCCTGAGGCTGTATCACAGGGTACCCTCACCTTGGACACCTCAACAACAACCTTTTGGTCAGGGACCCATTCAACTGCATCTTCAGGATTTTCACACTCAGAGATTACCACTCTTATGAGTAGAACTCCTGGAGATGTGCCATGGCTGAGCCATCCCTCTGTGGAAGAAACCATCCCTATCTCTTCCCTGCTGTCTTCACCTGCCATGACCTCACCTTCTCCTTTTTCCTCCACATTATCAGAGAGCATCCTCTCCTCTCCTCATCCTGTGACTGCACTTCTCACCCCTGGCCCGATGAAGAACACAGACATGTTGGGTACAAGCTCAGAACCTGAAACCAGTTCACCTCCAAATTTGAGCAGCACCTCAGCTGAAATATTAGCCACCTCTGAAGTCACCAAAGATACAGAGAAAATGTATCCCTCCTTGAACACAGCAATGACCAATGTAGGAACCTTGGTTTATAAACATCAATCCCCTTCCTCTGTTTTGGCTGACTCAGTGACAACAAAAGCCACATCTCCAATGGGTACCACCTCTGCTATGGAGAATACAAATATTTTCACATCAACTCCTGCCTTCCCAGAAACGATGATGATTCAGACAGAGTCAACTTCCTCCCTGACCTCTGGATTAAGGGAGATCAGCACTTCTGAAGAGACAAGCTCAGCCACAGAGAGAAGTGCTTTTCTTTCTGGGATGCCCACTGGTGCTACTACTGAGGTCTCCAGGACAGGAGCCATCTCCTCTAGCAGAACATCCTACCCAGGTCCTGCTCAATCCACAATGTCACCAGACTTCTCCACGGAAACCATCACTAGAATTTCTACCCCCCTCAACAGGAAAGAATCAGCAGAAATGACCATCACCCCCAAAACAGGTCCATCTGGGGCATCCTCACAACGTGCCTTTACCTTGGATGCATCAAGCACAGCCTCCTGGCCAGGAACTCACTCAGCTGCAACTCAGAGATCTCCACAATCAGCCGTGACCATTCCTATGAGCAGAGGTTCTGAGGATCTGTCATGGTCAAGCCCCTCATCAGTGGAAAAAACTAGCCCTCCATCTTCCCTGGTGCCTTCACCTGCAGTAACCTCACCTTCTCCACTTTATTCCACAACGTCTGGGTGGAGCCACTCCTCTCCTCTCCTGGCAACTTCTCCTTTTACCTCTGGCATGATGAAGACCACAGACAGGTTGGACACAAGCTTAGAACCTGTGACCACGTCACCTCCCAGTATGAATATCACCTCAGATGAGAGTCTGGCCACTTCTAAAGCCACCATGGAGATAGAGGCAATTGAGGTTTCTGAAAACACAGTAATGACTCATGTGGGAACCACCAGAGCTATACAGGAAGTATATTCCTCTTCCCAAGGCTTCTCAGAGCTACCCAAAGTGACATCTCCAACGATTACCCCTTCTACCATAAAAGATTTTGTTTCTACAACCATACCTGCTTCCTCTGAGATAACAAGAATTAAGATGGGGTCAACATCTACACTGACTCCTACACCAAGGGAGAACAGCACCTCCCAGGAGATTCACTCAGCCACAGAGACAAGCACTGTTCCTTACAAAGTGCTCACTGGTGCCATGATGGAGGACTCCAGGACACAAGTCACATCCTCTAGCAGAGGACCTAGCCCTGATCAGTCAACAATGTCACCAGACATCTCCACTGAAGTGATCACCAGGCTGTCTACCTCCCCCATCAAGACAGTATCTGCAGAAATGACCATTACCACCCAAAAGGGTTCTCCTGGGGCCACATCACAGGGTACCCTCACCTCGGACACCTCAACAACACCCTTTTTGTCAGGGACCCACTCAACTGCATCTCAAGGATTTTCACACTCAGAGATGACCACTCTTATGAGTAGAACTCCTGGAGATGTGCCATGGACGAGCCAGCCCACTGTGGAAGAAGCCAGCTCTGTCTCTTCTTTGCTGTCTTCACCTGCTATGACCTCACCTTCTCCTGTTTCCACCACAATCCCAGACAGCATCCCCTCCTCTTCTCTTCCTGTGACATCACTTCTCACCTTGGGCCCAGTGAAGACTACAGAGCTATTGGACACAAGTTCAGAACCTGAAACCAGTTCACCTCCAAATCTGAGCAGCACCTTGGCTGAAATACTGACTACTTCTGAGGTCACCCCAGATACAGAGAAACTGGAGGTGACCAATGTGGGAACTTCAGGTTATACACATGAATCTTCCTCCTCTGTCCTAGCTGACTCAGTGACAACAAAAGCCACATATCCAATGGGTATCACCTCCCCTATAAGAGATACAAGTGTTCTCACATCAAGTCCTTCCTTCTCTGACACTAGTGGGATTCAGACAGAGCCAACACTCTCACTGACTCCTGGGTTGAGTGAGAGCAGCACCTCTGAAGGGACTAGCTCAGCCACGGAAACAAGCACTGTCCATTCTAGCATGCTCACTGGTGCTACTCCTGAGGTCTCCAGGACAGGAGCCATCTCCTCTAGCAGAACATCCACCCAAGGCCCTGCTGAATCCACAATGTCACCAGACATCTCCATGGAAACCATCACTAGAATTTCTATACCCACCACCAGGAAAGACTCAGCAGAAATGACCATCACCCCCAAAACAGGTCCATCTGGGGCATCCTCACAACGTGCCTTTACCTTGGATGCATCAAGCACAGCCTCCTGGCCAGGAACTCACTCAGCTGCAACTCAGGGATCTCCACAATCAGCCATGACCACTCCTATGAGCAGAGGTTCTGAGGATCTGTCATGGTCAAGCCCCTCATCAGTGGAAAAAACTAGCCCTCCATCTTCCCTGGTGCCTTCACCTGCAGTAACCTCACCTTCTCCACTTCATTCCACACCATCTGGGAGGAGCCACTCCTCTCCTCTCCTGGAGACTTCTCTTTTCACCTCTGGCACAGTGAAGACCACAGACATGCTGGACACAAGCTTGGAACCTGTGACCACGTCACCTCCCAGTATGAATATCACCTCAGATGAGAGTCTGGCCACTTCTAAAGCCACCATGGAGACACAGACAGTTTACATTTCTGAAAACACAGCAGTCACCCATGTGGAAATGACCAGTGCTAGAGAGGAATTCTATTCTTCCTCCCCAGCCTTCTCAGAGCCAACCAAAGTGACGTCCCCAATGATTACCTCTTCCTCTATAAGAGACAACATTGTTTCCACAACAATGCCTGGCTCCTCTGGGATTACAAGGATTGAGATAGAGTCAGTGTCTTTTCTGACCCCTGGACTAAGGGAGACCAGAACCTCCCAGGACATCGTCTCATCCACAGAGACAAGCACTGTCCTTTACAAGATGCCCTCTGGTACCACTCCTGAAGTTTCCAGGACAGAATTTATGCCCTCTAGCGGAACATCCATTCCTGGCCCTGCTCAGTTCACAATGTCTCCAGACATCGATGAAGTCGTCACCAGGCTCTCTACCTCCCCCATCATGACAGAACCTGCAGAAATAACCACCACCCAGACAGGTTCTTCTCTAACTACATCTCAGGTTACTCTTCCCTTGGACACCTCAACTACCTTCTTGTTAGGGACCCACTCGACTGTGTCTCAAGGACTTTCACACTCAGAGAGGACAAATATTATGAGCAGGGGTCTTGAAAATATGTCATGGATGAGCCCTCACTTTGTGGAAACAACTAGATCTTCCTCTTCCCTGACATCATTACCTCTTATGACCTCATTTTCTCCTGTGTCCTCCACATTAGTAGAGAGTAGCCCCTCCTCTCCTCTTCCTGTGACTTCACTTATCCTCCCAGGACTGGTGAAGACTACAGAAGTGTTGGGCACTGCAGAAGTGTCGGGCACAAGCTCAGAGCCTAAAACCAGTTCATCCCCAAATTTGCACAGTACCTCAGTTGAAATGCCGGCCACCTCTGAAGTCATCACAGATACAGAGAAAATTCACTCTTCCTCAAACACAGCGGTGACCAAAGTGGGGACCTCCAGTTCTGTCCATGAATCTCATTCCTCTGTCTTAGCTGACTCAGAAACAACTACAACCACATCATCAATGGGTATCACCTCTCCTATGGAGGATGCCAGTGTTTCCACATCAACTCCTGCCTTCTCTGAGACTAGGAGGATTCTGACAGAGCCAACATTCTCAGTGACTCCTGGATTCAGGGAGACTAGCACCTCTGAAGAGACCAGCTCAATCACAGAAACAAGTGCAGTCCTTTTTGGGGTGCCCACTAGTGCTATTACTGAGGTCTCCATGACAGAAATCACGTCCTCTAACAGAACATGCATCCCTGACTCTGATCAGTCCACAGTGTCTCCAGACACAAGTACCGAAGTGTTCACCAGGCTCCCTTCCTCCTTCATGATGTCAGAATCAACAGAAATGACCATCACCCCCCAAACAAGGTCTCCTGGGGCTACAACACAGAGTACGCTTACCCTGACTGCAACCACAACAGCACCCTTGGCAGGGACCCACTCAACTGTTCCTCAAAGATTTTTACACTCAGAGATGACAACTCTTATTAGTAGGAGTCCTAAAAATCCATCAGGGAAGAGCTCTCCCTTTGTGGAAAAAAGTAGCTCTTCCTCTTCTGTGTTGTCCTTACCTGCCATGACCTCACCTTCTGTTTCTTCCACATTCCCACAGAGTTTCCCTTCCTCCTCTTTTCCTGTGACTTCACTCCTTACCCCAGGCATGGTGAAGACTACAGCCACCAGCACAGAACCTGGAACGAGTTTATCTCCAAATCTGAGCAGAACCTCAGTTGAAATACTGGCTGCCTCTGAAGTCACCACAGATGCAGAGAAAATTCATCCTTCTTCAAGCACCGCAGTGACCAATGTGGGAACCACCAGTTCTGGACATGAACTGCGTTCCTCTGTTCCAGTCCACTCTGAGCCATCTGAGGCTGCATATCCAATGGGTACATCTTCTTCCATGGCAGAAACCACTATTTTCACATCAATGCCTGCCAATTTTGAGATCACAAGGTTTGAGGCAGAGCCATTTTCTCATTTGACTTCTGGATTTAGGGAGACTAGCATGTCCCTGGACAAAAGCTCAGTCACGCCAACAAATACACCTTCATCTCCTGTGTCTACACACCTCTTACAGAGTTCCAAGACTGATATCACCTCTTCTGTGAAAACATCATTCCCAGACCAACCTCCAGCCTCACAGTATACTGAAATTCCAGAGGAAATAATCACCCCCTTTAATGCTTCTCTATCTGTTATGGAGTCCACTGGGATAACCTCCTTCCCAGAATCCAAGTTTACTGTGTCTGTATCAGAAAGTACTCATCATCTGAGTACAGATTTGCGGCATTCAGCTGAGACTATTTCCACTGGCACAGCGATGCCTTCTCTATCAGAGACCATGGCTTCATTTGCCACCACTGGAGTTCCACGAGCCATCTCAGGCTCAAGTAGTCCACTTTCTAGGACAGAGTCAAGCCCTGGAGATGCTAATCTGTCCACCAGTGCAGAGAGCCTGCCTTCATCCACTCCAGTGCCATTCTCCTCTTCAACCTTCACTATCACTGATTCTTCAACCATCCCAGCCCTCCATGGGATAACTTCCTCTCCAGCTACCCCACACAGAATGGACACCAGTTCTGGGACAGAGGGCAGCACTATTGAAGGACACTTGGTTACAGTCAGTACTTTGGACACTTGGAGCCAACCAGCTAGGACATCTTCATCACCCATTTTGGATACCAGAATGACCGAGAGTGTTGAGCTGGGAATGATGACAAGTGCTTATCAAGTTCCTTCACTCTCAACACGATTGACAAGTAAGAACCCACAGCCCCTGCAATCCTATTATTGGGGACTTACAGGGAATGACCCCTTCCTAAGAAGTATGAAAGAGTTAACTAGTTAGTTCCTGTACCCAAAATTCTTTTAGCAAACATGTGTTTATCAAATTTTACTTCTAGGCACTGGGTTAGGAATTGAAGAAACAAAAACAAATAATTGAATCATTACAGTATCATCACAGGTGTTCTACTGTTAGTAATGATGATGACAATAAGGATAATGACAACAGATTTACACCGCACTTATTCTGTGTCAAGTGCAGTTTTATTAAGTTATTTGATCCTCAACTGTAACACTATTTGAAGTAGAGACTATATTTTTTCTTTTCTTTTTTTTTTTTTTTGAGATGGAGTCTCAGTCTGTCGCCCAGGCTGCAGTGCTGTGGTGTGATCTCAGCTCACTGCAACCTCCACTTCCTGGGTTCAGGCGATTCTCCTGCCTCAGCCTCCTGAGTAGCAGGAACTAGAGTCATGCACCACTGTGCCTAGCTAATTTTTGTATTTTTTTTAGAGATGGGGTTTCACCACATTGGTCAGGTTGGTCTTGGACTCCTGATGTCGCGATTTGCTCACCTTGGCCTTTCAAAGTGCTGGGATTACTGGTGTGAGCCACCATGCCTGGCCCCAAGTAGAGACTATTATAAGCCTGTTTTGGAGATGAAGACATTGAGGCACAGGGAGGCAAAGTAATTTTCTTAAGGTCATAAAGCTAGAAAGTGACAGAACTAGGATAAGAACTCAGATTGTGTGTTACTAGGAATTCATGCTCCTTACTGTTGGTCTAAACAGGAGTGGTCCGGAGAGGTGGCAGAAAAACCAATAAGTTATAGCATCACAGATCCATAAAGGGGAGAGTTTTAGGAATGAGAAAGGGTAAGTTCTGTTAAATACTACAGACTCGCCAAGTGGAAATGAGGTGAGAAGTGCTTTGGCAACATGGGGGTTCTCAGGGATTCGAATGAAGGGAGCATCAGTGAGGTATAGGGTACTAGAAGAACAGCTAAAATACTACAGAGATATAAGGGAGTGTTTCTCCCTTTGAGTTGAGCAAGAAACAAAAGGGATAAGTGAAATAAAAAGGTGAGTTAATGAAAATTGAGGGAACAAAGTACCTAAGAAAGTAGGAGGGACCCAGTGCCTAGAAGGAGGAAACTACTTCCAAGAGGTCAGTAGATAAAGGAAGAAAACTCCTGGGGATTCCATTTCTCTGAAAGGGTTGAACTTGGCACCAACTTTTGTTCAAATCCTAAGAGGCCCTCCAACGACTCTAGTTTCTGCCTCACTAGACAGAATCTCCAGGAGGATGATGTGCTCCCTTTCCTCTTTCACATTAGTTTTATAATTCACAGTAAATTTAGACACATCGGTGGCTATTGACCCAGATGTTACTATGTGACTCAGTAGTTGAGTCAGGGTGTTCAGTAAGCAAGTGATGAATGGCACGGTAAGAGGGTAGAAATGGATGAATGGAAGGAAGGAAAGATAAAGAGGAGGAAGGATAGATGCCCAGAAGAAAGGATGAAAAGAAAGATGATGGAAGAGAGGATTGAAGGAGATATAGATTGAAGGAAAGAAGGGTGGAAGGATGAAATGAAGTAAAGATTGAAGAAAAGATGGATGGAAAGAAGAAAGGAGGGTGCACTAAAATCTCACACTTCACCACTATATGATTCATCCATGTAAGTAAAAACCACTTGTACGCTCAAAGCTATTGAAATACAAACTTTTTAATCAAAATTTTAAAAAGCAAAAGAAAGGAAAGAAGGGAGGAAAGACAAAAGTAAGTATGGGTGGTAGGAAGAAAGAATAAAGGGAAGAAAAATGGAAGAATAGGTGATCAGATCTAGGGACAAATGAAAGGAAGGATGGACAAATTTATGGGTAGATGGATCTATGGATGGGTGTGGCCAGTTACGGCATATAGTCCTGGCTCCAGTCTGCACTGATGGACTTGAGGAGTGTTTGTGGCCAATGAAGTGGATCAATTTAGACAGTGCTCTTCTGAATGAGACGAGTTACCCCAGTTTTCCTCCCCACCTTCACCTGCAGGAACCGATGGCATTGTGGAGCGCATCACAAAAATACCCAGTGAAGCAGCACACAGAGGTACCATAAGACCAGTCAAAAGCCCTCAGACATCTACATCACCTGCCAGTACTAAAGGTAGGTTTAGCTTTGCTTACCTCCCAGTAATGCCACTTGTGACCATGTTTCCTACTCCAGAGAGACAAAATGCTTGTATTCTTTTTTTTTTTTTTTTTTTTTTTTTGAGACGGAGTTTCGCTCTTGTTACCCAGGCTAGAGTGCAATGGCGCGATCTCGGCTCACCGCAACCTCCACCTCCTGGGTTCAGGCAATTCTCCTGCCTCAGCCTCCTGAGTAGCTGGGATTACAGGCACGCGCCACCATGCCCAGCTAATTTTTTTGTAGTTTTAGTAGAGATGGGGTTTCACCATGTTGACCAGGGTGGTCTCGATCTCTTGACCTCGTGATCCACCCGCCTCGGCCTCCCAAAGTGCTGGGATTACAGGCTTGAGCCACCGCGCCCGGCAAATGCTTGTATTCTTTAGAGAGAGAATTGTGTGTGGCTCTCATAGGTTTCCCTGTCTGAACTGGGTCTTTGTCTAATGGTTACCAGGTGGATGTTACCACTTCTCTTTCTCCTCATAGCATGCTGAGTGAGTTAAATTTGTCCAACTTCAAATACTCACAAATTTGTCCACATTAGCTAAATTTTTTAAATGCTCGTTAAAAACTTACTATGAGCTTGGCTCAGTGGCTCACACCTGTAATCTCAGCACTTTGGGAGGCCAAGGTGGGTGGATCACCTGAGGTCAGGAGTTTGAGACCAGTCTGATCAACATGGTGAAAACCCATCTCTACTGAAAATATAAAAATTAGCCAGGCATGGTGGCATGCACCTGTAATCCCAGCTCCTTGGGAGGCTGAAGCAAGAGAATCACTTGAACCCAGGAGGCAGAGGTTGCAGTGAGCTGAGATCATGCCACTGTACTCCAGCCTGGGTGCCAGAGCAAGACTGCATCTCAATATATATATACACATATATATGTATGTCTGTGCACACACACATATTTGGATTTCAAGAATGGCAGAACTTAAGGAATCTGGTAAGAAGTGGGTACTTCAGGCAGAGAAAAGAGCTTGAGCAAGGCTCAGAGGCTGACAGTGCAGAAACACATGGGAAGAGGGAATAGATTACTGCAGTCAAGAATTCATGGAGGAGTTATAGATAAAGATGCAACCAAGTTACAGACCAAGGTAACATAGGGGAGTACCAATCACAATCTCTTTCTCCCATTCCAAAAGCATCCCAGGCACATCCTGGTAACTTCTCTCCCTTTCCTCATATGGAGAATAAATAAGCTATTGCTAGTCCAGTAAGTGTAATCATTTTGTCCAAATTGTGTGCTCATTCCCCGATTCATAGGACTACACACAGGAGGGACAAAAAGAATGCAGACCACTACCACATCTCTGAAGACCACCACCACAGCTTTGAAGACCACTTCCAGAGCCACCTTGACCACCAGAGTCTATACTCCCACTTTGGGAACACTGACTCCTCTCAATACATCGATGCAAATGGCTACCACAAGCACTACAGACATGATTATCACAACCCCACATGTTTCCCCAGATGTTGCAGAAATGACATCCTCATTGGCTACCAGCCGGGGAGCAGAGACCAGCACAGCTGTTCTCAGGACAACCCCATCTGTTTTAAATAGAGAATCAGAGACCACAGCCTCACTGGTTCCTAGTTCTGGGGCAGAGACAAGTCCAGCTATTCAAACTCTAGATGTTTCTTCTAGTGAGCCAGATACAACAACCTCATGGGCTATCCATCCTGCAGAGACCATCCCAAGTATTTCCAAGACAACTCCTGATTTTTTCCACAGTGAATCAGACACTGTATCTTCCACAGCCACCGGTCATGGGGCAGAAGTCACTTCAGCCATTCCAACAAATATCTCACCTAGTGAACCAGGTGCACTGACACCTCTGGTCACTATTTCTGGGACAGATACGAGTACAACTTTCCCAACCCTAACTAAGTCCCCACATGAAACAGAGACAAGAACCACATGGCTCACTCATCATGCAGAGACCAGCTCAACAGTTCCCAGAACAATCCTCAATTTTCCCCATCATCAATCAGATGCCACACCTTCGGTGGCCACCAGTCCTGGGGCAGAAACCAGTTCAGCCGTTCCAACTATGACTATCTCACCTGGTGCAGCAGATCTGGTGACCTCACAGGTCACTAGTTCTGGGACAGACAGAAATTTGGCTATTCCAACTTTGACTCTTTCTCCTGGTGAACGAAAGACCACAGCCTCATTAGTCACCCATCCTGAAGGACAGACAAGTTCGGGCGTTCCAACTTTAACGATCTCACCTGGAGTATCAGGGATGGTGACTTCAGTGGTCACCAGTTTGGGGGCAGAGACAAGTACAACTAATCCAGCTCTGACCATCTCCCCTGGTGAACCAGCTACAACAGTTTCATTGGTCACTCATCCTGCACAGACCAGCCCAACAGTTCCCTGGACAGCTTCCATTTTTTTCCATAGTAAATTAGACACCATACCTTCAATGACCACCAGTCATGGGACAGAAGCCAGCTCAGCTGTTCCAACTCCACCTGTTTCACCTGAGGTACCAGGAGTGGTGACACCTCTGGTCACTAGTTCCACAGCAGTGAGCAGTACAACTATTCCAATTCTGACTCTTTCTCCTGGTAAACCAGACACTACACCTTCAATGACTACCAGTCATGGGGCAGAAGCCAGCTCAGCTGTTCCAACTCCAACTGTTTCACCTGGGGTACCAGGAGTGGTGACCTCTTTGGTCACTAGTTCTATGGCAGTGTCCAGTACAACTATTCCAATTCTAACTCTTTCTCCTGGTGAACAAAAGACTATACCTTCAATGGCCAGCAGTCATGGGGCAGAAGCCAGCTCAGCTGTTCCAACTCCAATTGTTTCACATGGGGTGCCAGGAGTGGTCACCTCTATGGTCACTAGTTCTAGGGCAATGACCAGCACAACTATTCCAACTCTGACTCTTTCTCCTGGTGAACCAGAGACCACACCTTCAATGGCCACCAGTCATGGGGCAGAAGCCAGCTCAGCTGTTCCAGCTGTTTCATCTGAGGTACCAAGAGTGGTGACCTCTCTGGTCACTAGTTCTAGTGCAGTAACCAGTACAATTATTCCAACTCTGACTATTTCTTCTGGTGAACCAGAGACCACACCTTCATTGGTCACCCATTCTGAGGCAAAGACAATTTCAGCCATTCCAACTTTAGCTGTCTCCCCTACTGTACAAGGGCTGGTGACTTCACTGGTCACTAGTTCCGAGTCAGAGACCAGTGTGTTTCCAAATCTAACTGTTGCCTCAGGTCCACCAGAGACCACAGCCTCATGGGTCACTCATCCTGGGACAGAAATAAGCTCTGTTTATTCGAGTTTGACTGTCTCCACTGGTGAGCCATTTACAACGATCTCATTTGTCACCTACCCTGCAGAGAATAGCTCAACTGTTCCCAGGACAACCCCAAGCTTTTTCCATAATGAATCAGACTCTATCCCTTCAACAATCACCAGTCCTGAGGCAGAATCCAGCTCAGCCATTTCAACAACTATCTCACTTGGTATACCACGTATGCTGACTTCACTGGTCACTAGCTCTGGGACAGACACCAGTGCAACTTTTCCAACAGTGTCTGAGTTTCCACATGAATCAGAGGCAACAGCCTCATGGGTTACTCATCCTGCAGTCACCAGCACAACAGTTCCCAGGACAACCTCTAATTTTTCTCACAGTGAACCAGACACCACACCCTCCATAGCCACTAGCCCTGGGGCAGAAGCCAGTTCAGCTTTTCCAACAATAACTGTCTCACCTAATGTACCAGATATGGTGACCTCACAGGTCGCTAGTTCTGGGACAGACACCAGTATAACTATTCCAACTGTGACGCTTTCTCCTGGTGAACCAGAAACCACAACCTCATTTATCACCTATTCTGAGACACACACAAGTTCAGCCATCCCAACTCTGACTGTCTCCCCTAGTGCATCAAAGATGCTGACCTCACTGATCACTAGTTCTGACACAGAGGCCAGTACAATTTTTCCAACTCAAACTGATTACCCACATGAATCAGAGACAACAGCCTCATGGCTCATCCATTCTTGGACAGAAGCCAGTTCAGCTTCCCCAGCTATGACTGTTTCTCCTGGTAAGCCAGATACAGCAGCCTGGCAGGTCACTCATTCTGCAGAGGCCAGCACACCTGTTTCCAGAATAACCCCCAATTTTCCCCCTAGTGAATCAGACACGACACCTTTCATGGTCACCAGTCCTGGTGCAGAAGTCACTTCAGCCATTCCAGCAACAACTCTCTCACCTGGTGTATCAGATACACTGACCTCACTGGTCACTAGTTCTGGGACAGACAGCACTACAACGTTCCCAGTGCTGACCGAGACCCCATATGAACCGGAGACAACAGCTACACAGCTCATTCCTCCTGCAGAGACCAACACAATGGTTCCCAGGACTACTCCCAAGTTTTCCCATAGGGAGTCAGACACCACACTCCCAGTTGCCACCACCAGTCCTGGGCCAGAAGCCAGTTCAGCTGTTTTAACCACAGCTGTCTCACCTGGTATGTCAGATCTGGTGACCTCACTGCTCCCTAGTTCTGGGACAGACACCAGTACAATTTTCCCTACATTGACTGAGACCCCATATGCACCAGAGGCTACAGCCACATGGTTCACTCATCCTGCAGAGACCAGCACAACGGTTCCTAGGACAACTGTCAACTTTTCCCATAGTGGAGCAGACACGAAGCCCTCAATGGCCACCAGTCCTAGAGCAGAAGCCAGGTCAGTTGTTCCAACTACAACCATCTCACCAGGGGTAGTGACCTCACAGGTCACAAGTTCTGCAACAGCCACTAGTGCAGCTATTCCAATGTTGACTCCTTCTCTTGGTGAACCAGAGACCACAGCCTCACTGATTACCCATCCTGGGGCACAGACTGGCTCCACTGTTCCAACTCTGACTGTTCCCTCTAGTGAGCCAGATACAACAGCTTCCTGGGTCACTCATCCTGCACAGACCAGCACACCCATTTCCAGAACAACCCCTAGTTTTTCCCACAGTAGACCAGATGCCACACTTTTAATGGCCACCAGTCCTGGGACAGAAGCCAGTTCAGCTGTGCTGACAACAATGGTCTCACCTGGTGTACCAGAGATGGTGACTTCACCGATCACTAGTTCTGGGGCTGCAACCAGTACAACTATTCCAACTTTGACTCATTTTCCTGGTATGCCAGAGACCACCGCCTTATTGATCACCCATCCCGGCACAGAGACAAACACATTTCCTGCTTCAACTGTGTTTCCTCAAGTATCAGAGGCCACACCCTCACTATCCATTAGACCTGGTGCAGAGCCTAGTACAGCTCTTCCAACTCAGCCTAGTTCAGCCCTTCCAACTCAGACAGCATCCTCTCTCTTCACCCTACTTGTAACTGGAACCAGCAGAGTTGATCTGAATCCATCTGCTTCACCTGGTGTTTCTGCAAAAACAGCCTCACTTTCCACCCATCCTGGGACAGAAACCAGCAGCACAATTCCGACTTCGACTCTTTCCCTTGGCTTATTAGAGACTACAGGCTTGTTGAGCACCAGCTCTTCAGCAGAGACCAGCACTCTCACTCTGAGCATTTCCCCTGCTGTCTCTGGGCTTCCCAGTGCCTCTATAACAACTGGTAAGCCCCAAACTGTGACCTCCTGGCACACAGGAACCTCACCATCTGTGACTTCACTTGGACACCCAGAATTTTCCAGGACTGTCACAGGTACCACTATGACCTTGATACCATCAGAGACACCAACATCACCTAAAACCAGTCATGGAGAAGGAGTGAGTCCAACCCCTATCTTGAGAACGACAACAGTTGAGACCACTAAGTTAGTTGCCACAGGCTCCAGTTCCACTGTGGCCAAGACCACGACCACCTTCAATACACTGAGTGGAAGCTCCTTTGCCCCTCTGACCACACCTGGGATCTCCACCTTGGCCTCTGAGAGTGTGACCTCAAGAACAGGTAAGAATAACTTTTTTATTGTGGTAAAATATAAATAATATAAAACCTGCCATTTAAACCATTTTAAGTGTACGATTCAGGAGTATTAATACATTCATATTGTTGTGCAATCCTCACCACTATCGGTTTTCAAAACTTTATCACCCCAAACAGGAACTCTGTACCCATAAAGCAATAATTTCCCATTCTTCCTAGTCCCTGGTAACTTTCTGTTTTGTTTAGTTGTTTTTTTTTTTTTTTTTTTTGAGAGAGAGTCTCGCCCTCTTGCCCAGGCTGGAGTACAGTGGTGCAATCTTGGCTCACTGCGACCTCTGGACCTCTGCCTGCGGGGTTCCAACAATTCTTCTACTTCCGCCTCCTGGGTAGCTGAGACTACAGGTGTATGCCACCATGCCTGGCTAATTTTTTGTGTTTTCAGTAGAGACAAGGTTTCACGATGTTGGGCAGGCTGCTCTCAAACTCCTAACCTCAGGTGATCCACCCACCTCAGCCAGCCAAAGTGCTGGGATCACAGGCATGAGTCACTGCATCTGGCCCTGTCCCACTTTCTTTTTATGAGATGGAGTCTCACTCTGTCATCAGGTTTGAGTGCAGTGGCGTGATCTCTGCTCACTGCAACCTCCACCTCCCACGTTCAAGCAATTCTCCTGACTCAGCCTCCTGAGCAGCTGGGACTACAGGCGCGTGCCACCATACCCAGCTAATCTTTGTATTTTTAGAAGAGACGGGGTTTCACCATGTTGGCCAGGATGGTCTCCATCTCTTGACCTCATGATCTGCCCAACTCAGCCTCCCAAAGTGCTGGGATTACAGATGTAAGCCACCGCACCCGGCCGTCTCAGCCCATACAGCCCTGAACAAACTGGAATCGTTGGTCAGCCCACATAGGAAGGTCTCAGAAAGTGACTGCTACATAAGGAATTTCAAGTAGGATGGCTCGGCCTGGACCCCAACTGAACACTGGAGTTAAAATGTGTCCTCAGAACATTTCCTCCCGTGCCTCACTGCCCAGGGCCTAAGACTGGTCTCTTCTTGCCCTCCCTTTCTGCAGCTGACATTCCTTTGTTGATGCCTTTCACTGTCAACTTCACCATTACCAACCTGCAATACATGAAGGACATGGTGTTCCCGGGCTCTGAAATATTCAATGCCACTGAGAAGATCCTGCAGCAGCTGGTGAGAGCCCCCCCAACCAATCCCCACTCCTCCAAAGTCTCGGCCCCTCCTCCTCCTCCTCATCTCTCTCTCATTCCTTCCCAGCTCAAGCCTTTGTTCCAGAACAGCAGTATTGGTTCCCTCTATGCTGGCTGCAGGCTGACCTCGCTCAGGTAAGACCCACTCCCCTCCACAGCACCTACAGCAACCCCAATTCAGTCCTTTCTTAGACTCCCACACCCCTAGCAGCCACAGCCACTTGGGCTTTAGCTGTGAGGCAGTATAGTATAGTAGACACAAAGTGCCTCGGTTTCAATGCCAGCTCCACAATTTGCTAGCTGTGTGGCCCTGGGCAAGACACACAACCTCCCTGTTCCTCAATCATATTATCTATAAAATGGTGATAATAACAGTCTTTTATCTTTTGTCTTTTTTTTTTTTGAGACAGAGTCTCACTGTGTCACCCAGGCTGGAGTACAATGGCACCATCTGGGCTCACTGCAACCTCCACCTCCTGGGTTCAAGCGATTCTCCTGCCTCAGCCTCCCAAGTAGCTGGGACTACAGGCACGCACCACCATGACCAGCTAATTTTTTGTATTTTTAGTAGAAATGGGGTTTCACCAAGTTAGCCAGGATGGTCTCTGCCTGCTGACCTTGTGATCTACCTGTCTCAGCCTTCCAAAGTGCTGGGATTACAGGCATGAGCCACTGTGCCTGGCCAACAGTCTCTTATTCTAATGATGATAATAACAGTCTTTTGCTCTTTTCTCTCTCTCTCTTTTTTTTTGAAATGGATACTCTGTCACCTGTCACCTAGGTTAGAGTGCAGCGGCACGATCTTAGTTCACAGCAACCTCTGCCTCCCGGGTTCAAGTGATTGTGCAATTCTCCTGCCCCAGCCTCCTTAATCATTCAGCAAGGTGCCTGGACCATTGTGAATGTTCAGTTAATTAGGAAAAAACTCATAGGAGCAATCGATATAGCGTCTTTGCTACCAGTATCCCCAGAATCCCTGACAGCTTCCTTGCCCCAGCCCATCTCTACCATATTAGAGTCAAACTCTGGACACTGCAGCTCTGCAGTTTGTTCCCTGAAAAGAGATAAGGACTTTCCCAAAGTCGGTCTTACTGAATCAAAGGGAAAATCCATTAACTTTTTAAAAAAATTTTACTTTAAGTTCTGAGATACATGTGCAGAACGTGCAGGTTTGTTACATAGGTATACATGTGCCATGGTGGTTTGTTGCACCTGTCCACGCATCTTCTAGGTTTTAAGCCCCACAAACATTAGCTATTTGTCCTAATGCTCTCCCCCTCCCTGCTCTCCACCTCCCGACAGGCTCTGATGTGTGATGTTCCACTCCCTGTGTCCATATGTTCTCATTGTTCAACTCCCATTTATGAGTGAGAATATGCAGTGTTTGGTTTTCTGTTCTGGTGTTAGTTTGCTGCAAATGATGGTTTCCAGCTTCATTCATGTCCCTGCAAAGGACATGAACTCATTCTTCTTTAAGACTGCATAGTGTTCCATGGTGTATACGTGCCTTATCATCACTGGCCATTAGAGAAATGCAAGTCAAAACCACAGTGAGATACCATCTCACACCAGTTAGAATGGTGATTATTAAAAAATCAGGAGGCCGGGCGCGGTGGCTCAAGCCTGTAATCCCAGCACTTTGGGAGGCCGAGGCGGGTGGATCACGAGGTCAAGAGATCGAGACCATCCTGGTCAACATGGTGAAACCCCGTCTCTACTAAAAATACAAAACATTAGCTGGGCATGGTGGTGCGTGCCTGTAATCCCAGCTACTCAGGAGGCTGAGGCAGGAGAATTGCCTGAACCCAGGAGGCGGAGGTTGCGGTGAGCCGAGATCACGCCATTGCACTCCAGCCTGGGTAACAAGAGCGAAACTCCGTCTCAA